CCTCAAACTGGATGTCATGGAACTTCTGAGACCACTCATACACTGGATGTTGCAGAAATTCTGCATCCTCTCCTTCACTAGATGTTGCAGAGATTCACTGATGGCGTGATGGATACAGGAATATAACAGTCTTTCTCTAACTAGTCAATAACAGATGCCACAAATACTCTGTCGACTAACTTTCAATTTGAATTATTTCAAAAGGAATTAGGTACCTAAAATAGCAAATGCCTTAATGTCACATGATAAATTTAGAATATTAAAATGTTCAGAGATTAAGCAATAAAAAAAACAGTTCAAGTCACATCACTTTATTTTTAGATCATATACAAAAACTGAATGAAAAAATATTATTAATTTAATAAAATTGAAATTTTTTATCCAGCAAAGCAATCGACTTTAGCCGAAATATATTAACCAGACACAAAATCAATCCTTTGAACTATTTTAAAAGATTTGTATATGTGATGAATAGAGTACAAATATATCATTTAAATCTTACATTGACTTAGAAAAGATTACATAAGGGGAAATTAATACTCAACCTTTTGGTGAAACCTTTAAACTGTTAACTATCCAGGGGAAAATGCTAAATCGACAGTATCACACATTTGAATAAATATCTCCACCTATGCTTACAGTAAGGAATTATGCCACATGTATGTATATCTCATTAAAGGGCAAAAATATGCTTCTAGAAACTGTAATCCTCCCTCTCTGTAAGTTGCAAATGTTTCCAGAATAAGAAAAATCAAACCGTGCAACGTTCCCAAATAAGTCACAAAATGATCATCAGATAAGGAAATTGTAACGAAGAACCACTCTACACTCTACAAAGCCATTTTGAGGGAGCCTTATGTTTTTTGCCAGGTTCTACGCTGAAAGTAGTAGTAGTGGTAGTAGTAGTAGTAGTAGTAGTAGTAGTAGTAGTAGTAGTAGTAGTAGTAGTAGTAGTAGTAGTAGTAGTAGTAGTAGTAGTAGTAGTAGTAGTAGTAGTAGTAGTAGTAGTAGTAGTAGTAGTAGTAGTAGTAGAAGTAGTATTAGTAAGCAGTAGTAGTAGTAGGGCCTCCTTCGGTCGATGTCAATAATGGATACTGCGCCCTAGGAGTTCGTGGTGTTGCGACCAGAACAGCATCGTATCGTAGGTGGCTGGTAAGACAAGTGCGGCTGGAGTGGCAGTCTCTGCTGCACAAAGTGCTGTTGAGGTTGATCGTGGGGGGTCCCGTGTCTGTGTGCCTTTCGCTTGGCTTTACTCTCCCCTTCCAGGTTCAGGGATATTCTCCCTCACCTGTCTTCAGCAGTTTCTTCAGCAAGCAGAGCCAGCTGATGCAGTTTGCTGCGCTGTCCTCCCAGATCTCTGTATTGATATCCAGACCTTTCATGTCGCGCTTGTAGACATCTTTATATCTCAGCTGGGGGTGACCTTAGGGGTCTTTTACCTTAACCAAGTTGACTAGAAGATGTCCTTGGGGATCCGACCGTCTTCCATACGGCACATGTTGCCAAGCCGGCGCAGTCGGCGTTGTCTGAGCAGCGTGTACATTATGGGGAGGCCGGCACGGGCAAGAACCTGAGCGTTGAGCACTTTGTCCCCCCAGCTGATGCCAAAGATGCGGCGAAGACGTCGCATGTGGAAACTGTTCTCCTTCTGCTCTTGCTTGGCATAGGTTTTACATCCGTACAGGGGGATGCTAACTATACAAGCGTTGTGCACTGCCATCTTCGTTGGAGTGGTCAGCTTGGGGTTCTCCCAGACGCGAGTGGGGTTGTTTCGACCTTGCCGATCTCTTTGTTGATTTCGGCGTTTAAGGACAGGTTGTCGCTGATGGTGGAACCATGATAGGTGAACTGGTGTACCACTTCAAGTTTGTAGTTGTTAATGGTGATGACAGTTAGTGTGTTCACATCTTGGCCCAACACGTTGGTCCTCTTCGGGCTGATGGCAGGCCTGAGAGAATCTGTCCATAAGACACTGTAGATCTTATTCAGTGTGTGAGGCAACTGCTGCGTCATCGGCGAAGAGCATGCTTGTGATGATGGTCTCACACACTTTGGTTTTTGCTCTGAGCCTTGTGGCGTTGTATAGTCTGCCATCTGATCTTGTGTGCATGTCCACACCTCCGGTTGAATTCCCAAAAGCATATTTCAGAAGGAGGAAGAAGAGGATGCCGAAGAGGGTTAAAGTTGGAGCAAGGACACAGCCTTGCCTCACGCCGCTTTTGGTGTCGAAAGGTCTTAACATGCTGCCTTCGTATTGGATGGCTGCCTTCATATCGTCATGAAAAGATCTGATCGTGCTGTAGGCTTCGGGGGACATCCGATCTTCAGGAGGGTGTTGAAGAGCCCGTCCCGGCCACCAGGTCGAAGCCCTTGGTCAGATCTATAAAGGCGATGTAGAGGGACTTCAGCTGTTCCCTACACTTCTCCTGTAGTTGGCGAAGGGAGAAGATTATGTCCACTGAAGAACGTTCTGCTCGAAAGCCGCATTGGAACTTTGGTTAGACGCGTTCTGGGTACACCGAAAACACCAACGGAATCCAATAAATCTGAAATAATTCTCTATTTTTTTGCCAATTGTATTTCAACCGAAAGGAACAACAAAATTGGTCCAAAACGAGCTTTTATCAAAAGTTGGTGAGTTCTACGCCTCCATCGAGGACTGAAAAAATACAATTCATAAAATAGGTAATATTCTAGACTCAGACTTGGCGATTCGATGAGCATAGTAAAACTGATAGTAAAATTGTATTTATATCGGCAATATCGCAAACATGTACTCCTGGCAAACAAAGTTTCGCTTAACGATACGTTGCGATTTAGGTTCGCACTACCTGTCATAGTAACTTTTTAAATCGCGTGGAAAACAATAAGGTAGGTGCTTTGAAATGCATGTATGTTGCACACTTCTGTCCTTTTATCAACGTTGAAAATTTGAGGAGTTAATGTCCATAGAGAAAAGTTATCGATACTAAATTTAATGCGTGTGATAATTTGTACTTGGGTGTCCTTAACTTTACCTTCTAAATCCGGAACTATATCTAAATAAAAGAAAGATCCTGCATTCCAAAATGTGCTTGAGTCATCTAAGTCAACCCACCGATCTTCATTGGGAAGTCTTCCCTTTAAGGTGATTCCAGAATGGTAAAAATCAACCTGGCTTGTAGAACTGGGAGATGTTTTCCGGCGTACTCGCCATCATCGGTTGAAATATTTTGTGCGATGGATACAAGCTACACATAATTTAATGTTAACAACTGAGTTGAAAACGTAAATTGACCACCGTAAAGAGTTTAAAGGCTGACATTTTGAGCGATTGGAGAAATTGTGGGTTTAGTGTGGGTTTATATGCAGAAAATGGAGTTATGCTATTGGTAAGAATATGGTGACGAGAAGACAAGAATAAATTAGTTGAATGGAAAGCGCTCGTTGATGCGGTGGGGATTAAGAGTACCAACTTGGAAGATAAATTTTTGCTCTAGTGTTTCGCGGCTTTCCGAACTGCCTAGAGGTAGGGAGATGCCGCGAACTGCCATGTGTTGGGGGGATTAAAGTGTCTAACGACTGGTTTGGATACGTCCTTGTCATGTCTTTTTACGTTGCGAAGCTGTTTTTGGAATTTTTTTAATTAGATGGTAATAATATCCCATTAAGTACTCTGGGAAAAAGCAAGACCAAAAAAACAATTTTCCGACCTTTTGTTAAAACATGATTTCTCGGTAGGAACTCAGTTATTTAAACTCAATCATTTGTTTCCCTGTTTTTGCGATTTCTCTCCTAAACAGCACATGTTCTACCTTTGCTTTGGAAAACAGTAACGCTTTGTTTGAGTTTGATGTTAGTGAGTGTTGTTTATTCCGTGTTGTACTTGGTATGATTTGTTATTCCCAGTTAAGCTCCTTTATGAGTGAATTGTGCCACTGAACCATTTAAGCAATCCAAGAAATTTCTGCAAGATCTTTTTCTTTTCCTTATTGTTTTTTTTACAAGCGACGTCAGTTAGCCAATTAAGGCGATTGTAGTTTAAATTATCATCGGTTCTAGATGGCCTACTTCTACCAGGAACTTCATCAATGCTTTGAGGAAGCAAAAAGAAGAAGAAGAAAAAAAAAAAGTATAAATATATAAATGCACGTACAATTGAGCCTAATAGCCCATCCAAATGGAACTTCACCCGCTTTATGTACCATGGAGCGGGGATGTTTTTTAGGAAACAGAAAGTCGACACCATATTTTATCAGTATGCAAGAATATTAGCCCCTACTCTTTGATTTTTCAGACCCTTATAACTTTCATCCTCGAGTATGAACTAGTGACGAGTCTGTTGTGCCGGAATATTACGTGAAAGTTGCGAGAACATGTAATTTGGCTCGGCAAAGAATAACCTTAGCTCTACGCCACTAAAACGAGTCTCAAGCCTCTTTGGATAGTGTGCACATTTTATTTCCAATTATTAATGTCAATTTCAGGTATCTAATTATTTCAATAAAATTATTTAAAAGTGTCACCAAAATATTAAACTAATTTACTTAAATCATACATACTCAGGAATCACATTAATTAATAAGCGTCACACTTAGTTGACCATCCTTAGATTCACTCTGTAATCTTATGCACAGCTGCAGGCCTTAGTTCTTCTCACGCGTCTTTGTCCTTCAGCGCCCAAAACAATTGTTACCCACTCATATCGTGGAACACACAGAGGAGGGTGATACTGATCCAAGCCACGGATACAAGCAAGGCTGAGGTTCTTGCAAACAGTTTCAACATACCCTTGGCACCAATACCTTCCAGCTTCACAAGAGGACTGCATTGTTCGGTCTCGCAGGCCTTTTTCATCAGAGCAGAAATTTCGCAAAAACCCCTCCATACCGTCTCCATTTTGTCTGGGAGCGGCTTTTTCCACGTGTTGGTTGGTCGTAATGTTTGCGGTCGGGAATCTGTGGTCTGTTCCGTCACCCAATTCTTGTGGGTTGTGCGGTTTTGCAAGGGCTTGTTTTTTATTAAAAACAGCAACAACAAGGACCAACAGTGACTGTTACGAAAAGGGAAAATGATTTGTTCAAATTAATCACCGTGTTAACAAATTGAAAAGCACGGCTGCTCATGAAATGATTTTCCTGAAATGTTACGACCCCTTTTTGCAGTCAATCGGTAAAAATTGGCGTAGGGTTAAAATAACTAGATCATTGCAAAATCTCACGCTTCTGAATAATTAAAAAAAAACATGACAGCGCGAGTTTATTCCCATTGGTATCGGGCCTGAACCCTTATGCTATTTGATAAAGATGGAGTAATTTTTTTGAGTTTACCTTTAAACCCAAAGTGAATCCCATGTTTTCACTTTTCTCTGGACAGCTTTGACAAAATAGTGAACCAGCTCCTTTCCTCAGTTCCCTTGGAATATTCCCTGACGAAAATCACCTTTTGTATATCCGCGAGAGTAAGTGTTTCCGGGCTATTTTTAACATAATCAACTGTTTGAATATTTCGATCGCAGAACGCTAGCCAGTGATTTGTCATTTTACAGCTGAGGCGCTCAAGGAAAATCTTACTGTGGTTAAATTGACGCTTCCATCTCGGTTGCATCTTGTTTCAGAATCCAATATCACGTGGAAATAATGAAACTGCAAGACGTGGTTGTTAATAAAAAAAAAACCACAAAAGTTGTCGATTTCTTTAATCATTATACTGTTACCTTTACAAAGTTTTTCCTCTCCTCGTATACTTTAAATAATTTGTAAACATTTTGCAGCTGAGGTGCTCAAAAAAAAAAATCATTTAGTGGTTGAATTGACACTTCCATCTCCCTTGTATCTTGTTTCAGAATTCAATATCACGTGGAAATAATGAAAGACGTGGTTGTTAATTTCTTTAATCATTATACTGTTACCGTTACAAAATTTACATGATTTAGAGAATACTACGCTACAGAGAGTTGTACTCTTTCGCTTAGACTCTCTGACAGCGAAAAAAATTAAAACCGAAAACTTGAAACTAATGCTTTTGAATGACGTTACATGAACTTATGACTGTTGTAGCACTGACAAAAGTTCCCTAACAAACGAGAAGCTTTATTTCTGGGAGATGTTTACGAAAAAATTGCTTTTGAATCAAGTGTCTTAAGCAATACTTTTATTACCAGAAAATTTTGTACAAAAATATAAAAGCGTTAAAACTATTCACAATGACCCTAACAATAATGGCAATAATGAGCTTTAACATAAAACAGAATAATAGTCGGGCAATCAGTGATTGCCCGAATATTATTCTGTTTTATGTTTTACATCAGTAACAATAAATCAACTGCTACGATAAGTGCACTCTTATTAACGATTTCTCAGTACGTACACAAGTAAATAAATACAGTATTTTCTATTTACAAACTTATTCTGGTATTCATTCTCCTAGAGTCTTCATGCGCAAACACAATTCTTGGTTCTTCTGAATTTCTGCACTGCGCCGCTTAGACTGACTTCCACAAAGTCATAAATTGGCCTACACTTTGGTGATCCGCACCTCGGGATACTACTGAGGCACTTGAAGCTGACCGCGTTACACTCCGCTTCTTGATAATCATAGCAGATAAGCCATCTCTTAACACAACCGTTTGATGAGATCCCATAGTCACCAGCATTACAGATATCTCTCAGTGTTTTCACTTCCCTTTTACTTCTGACATCTGTTATATTATTCTGGTAAGCTACGTTTGGCTCAAGTTTGTAGTGGGCGAAATCTTCTCTTGGAGCTTCGAGTTCAAAAGGTTTACAAAGAGTTTTATTGGGAAGAAGAACAGTCAGGAAAATAAAGAAACACAGCCACTGCAACAGAATATAGTCGGAGAGTATAAGAATGATAAAAACGACCGTTTTGTTTGTTTGTTTGTTTGTTTTTTTTACAATAAAAGCCTTAGTAAAGAATTCCCAGTGTAAGGGGATCGTCGATTATGCGAACACAAATAAACAAATAAATGAAAATCGCACGCTAAAAGTGTCAAAGTGGCGGGGGGTTGGAAAATATACAACTCTTCTATCATTACGTAAAAATTAACGCCAACAATATCCAACGCTTATGTTAGCCAAAAATATACAAAAAAAACAAAACAAAACAAAAAAGCAAGGAAATAAAACAATAATTGGTAAACTTCTTTACAAAAAGCACAGATTCCTGCAAACAATTTGCCAAGTTTGGTGGAGCTCATCGATATTTTAAGTAATTATCTTTTTCTCTCTTTCTAAATTCTGCTATAGGTCACTGATACATTTTCTTGTTACTCAAAAGCAACTTCGAGCATCACGATAAACAAAGTCAAGACTGCTCATGTCGTTTAAATTACCTCTGACAATACTGCCTTTGTATAGAAATTGACCATCATTTTCCAGTCTTCAATAAGTTCTGCTACACAGCAATTGATCTTCAGCTTTTGAGGGCTCAAAACTCAGCAGATATGTTGCTGTACATTTGAGGAGGTTAGCTTTTATACTCTCCAGATGATGATTTCCATTTTTATCTATGTTATCAATCTATTTATTCATATCCTTTCCAAAAACGGGGAATTTCAACGTAGATGGGTAGAATTCAGCTCTTCCAACAGTTCCGTTTAATTTGCTAAAAAACATGATATCTAACAAAAATGCTACCCAGATATATTGATAGAAGAGAGACAGCCCTTAAAATCTTAAGGGTAGACACCTTTTTTGAGGCTCTCTTATGTAATGATATAGCTTAGGTTTTGGCATATTTTGGCTGCAGCGACCATCTTTATGCAGCATTGTTTGAGTCCCCAGAAAAGTATTAGTTTTGACTTTCCAGTTATGTCGTCATAAACACGTAATTCTCTTTCTGGCCATTTTTAAGTAATAAGTATAATTATGAGATGACGTTACAGTGTTAATTTATGACAACTGAAGCCATGCATGGCTTCAGCCTTCCCTTTTTGCATTCTTTCATTTAGACGTTAAAACAAATAAAGTCACAACTGTGAGTTTGTGGCGATGGGCAAAATCACTAGTCAATAAAATTTATGATTTCAATTCTAAATGAGAAAAACTTGTACCGTCTTTCCTGGAAGGTTCGATAACACTCTATTAAGGTATTGCCTACCACAAGAATGTTTTCTTCAATTTCCATCATGCACGTTGGGAAATAACATGCATGTTGGGAAATACCCTTGTATTGACGCCAAACGTAAAACAGATCATACTTGGCCGCCTATTTCTCTCCTCAGTGTCTCAAATAGGCAAACTTTCATGAATTGAGGAAAATCCATGTACCGTTCATAGATTTAGGGAAGGCGCTGAAAAAAGTCTTGCACCGTAAACTAATAATCGTGGCACTCATAAAAAAATGTTTTCCTTTACTTAGGACTTTGAATACAAGTTTTTTTTCTATTCCAAGATGGTGTGCGGTTGGAGAATTCCCTTGTATTGACGTCAAGTGTGTTACAGTGACATAAACAAAATGTAAAATATATTAATCTGTACATTAATGCGTCCAATGTTGCAAATAGAGTTGATAACATCAAGTGGGGAAAACCTTTGGACAATCATTTGTGGGAAGCGCAGTAGTTTCCGATTACTGTGAAGTGATTTATGTACCGTAAACTATAGGCCGTAACAATCATGGAACTGCTCATCAGTATTTTCAATTACAGAACTAAAATATGAATTTCCGGTACATCTCGAGCACAGCATAAATCGTTTAATCGTTAAGACTTGTCATCGCATTGTATCGCAGTACTTTAAGGATGCTATAAATATATACAATATTAGAAGTTTTGGTGTGTAGTATCGCTAAGTATTTTTTACGAGTTGTGCCGTATTTTGACAAGCCCCGCCGTAGAAGAAGTAAAAATACAACATAAGAGTAAAAATACTATGCGATTCTAAAAAAAAAAAAAACCGTTTAACATATTAAGGGTTAAAATCATAGGCTATATCGTTCCATTCTTAAACATACAGAGCATAGTGTGCACTTTGACCAGAGTTAACAACCAACGCAGTTAAAATTGATTATTTGTATCAGTAAAATGCATCTACATATAACTTTTCGCTGAATCATACAAAATGTTGCTCTTTGAAACAACATGTTTTCTTAATCTGTTGAAACTGAAGCATTTTGCTTTCATTACATAGGAGAAATTTCCTTGTTTTCTGCCTACATATTGCTGCTTTGAAGCCAACATTTCGCTGTGTCTGGAAAAAAGCACAATAATTTGCGGAATCGATATGAAAAATATCCCTTAGAAATCCATTTTTTACGGAAAATGCTAATTTGGAAAACAAAGAATATTTTCGAAAGCGTTATACACGACGATGTCTCAGCAGGAAGTATATCGAAGGAGAAGCACAAACATACATACACTCGTCTCGTTACCCTGACAACATGTATTAAACAAAATTTTTCTGTTAGAGAATGTTTTTTCTCTTGAATGAATATTAGGAGGGAGCAATTGTTGCTGCATTGTCTTTAACAATTGTTATTTTCATTAAAATGAGAGTACATTAACCTTGAGTGAATGTTCCTCTAAATGTAATAATCGTTATTGATCTCTCTACAATGAAAACGCTTGTTTATTTTCCAAGCATGATTACGCATTCATTGTTATAACTGATTTTTTTACTGTGACCAAAATTTGTTTTCTGGCAATAAAGGGCAAAGGTGAAAGTATGTAGCTCAAATTTCTTTACATACGGTTTATCCTTCAAGAATTATGAGTTAAAAATATACGTACCAACCCAAGCCTACCAAATACAACGTTACACTTATGCCAATACTAATTCACACGGATGCTTTGCTTTCATGCATTAAAAACGCAGGAAAGTCAACACAGATGTAATAATAAGGTTTCCTGATCAAAAGTATTCCCACGCATGGCCAGGTAACGGGTTATAACAGTTTTAGTAAAACTTAGAATTCATAGTCATAATTATGACTAAGATCTCTAAGTTTTAGTTAAACTGTTTTGAGATGTTAGCCCGGACTCTTTGATTTTCAGACCTTTCTCACATTCATCCTCGAGTATGAACTAGTGACGATTCTGTTATAACGGAATATTACGTGAAAGTTTCGAGAACATGTAATTAAGCTCGGCAATAAATAACCTCAGCTCTATGCTACTCAGACGAGTCTCAAAGAATGTTCACATTTAATTTCAAATTTTAATGTAAAGTACAGATACATAATTATTCCAGTAAAATTATTTGATATTGTTCGAGAAATGTTAAACTTATTTACTCAAATCATATGTACTTAGGAATCACATTAATTAACAAGCGTCACACTCAGCTGACAATTCTTGGATACACTTAGTGTAATCTTGAGTGCAGTTGCAGGCTTTGGTTCTTCTCACGCGTCTTTTCCCCTCAATGCCCAACTCAATTGTTACCCACTCATATTGCGGAACACACATAGAAGAGCCAATCTTAGCCAAGCTACTCAAACAAGCAAGGCTGCGGTTCTTGCAAACAGTTTCAGAAGAGCCACGGCACAGATACCATCCAGCCTCACAAGGAGACTGCATCGTCTTGTTTTGAAGGCCTTCTTTACGAGGCTGAACGCAGAAGTCAAATACTCGTCTGCACCGTTTGCATTTTGTCTGGGAACGGCTTTTTCCACGTGTTGGTTGGTTGCGATGTTTGCGTTCGAAAAACTGTAGTCTGTTCCGCCACCCAATTCTTGAGAGTTGTGCAGTTTTGCAAGGGCTTGATTTACATTAAAAACAGCAACAACAGGGACCAAGAGTGACTGTAACGAAAGGAGAAAATGATTTGTTCAATTTAATCCCTGCGTTTGAAAAGCACAGCTGCTCATGAAATGGTTTTCCTGAAATGTTTCGACCCTTTTTTTCCAATCAATTGGTGAAAATTGGCGTACGTAGGATTAAAATAACAAATTAATTGCAAAATCGGACGCTACTGAATAATAATAATAATAATAATAATAATAATAATAATAAAGGACAGCGGGAGTTTTTACCCTTTTGTATCGGGTCTGAACTCTTTTGCTATTTGATAAAGGTGGAGTAAATTTTTGAGTTTACCTTTAAACCCAAAGTGAATCCTATGTTGTCACTTTTCTCTGGACGGCTTTGAAAGGATAATCAACCAGCTCCTTTCCTCATTTCTCTTAGAATATTTCCCGACGACAACCACCTTTTTATATCTGAGCGAGAGCAAGTGTTTCCGAGCTATTTTTACTTTAATCAGCCAGTGATGTGTCATTTTGCAGCTGAGGTGCTCAAAAAAAAATCATTTAGTGGTTGAATTGACACTTCCATCTCCCTTGTATCTTGTTTCAGAATTCAGTATTACGTGGAAATAACGAAAGACGTGGTTGTTAATAAAGAACCACAAATGTTGTTAATTTATTTAATCATTATGCTGTTACCTTTACAAAATTTTCTCTCTCCTCGTACATTTTGAATAGTTAGTATGGGTTCCCTTTTGAATAAAGCCGCGATCATTAAATCAGATGCTAGTTATCACCTAAATGAGATACGAAGCGGATTTGCCTTTAGGTGTGAGTAAGGAGACTCAGAGGTGTTTTCGCTTACACGCTGCTATATCACACTCAAACCTCAACAGCATTTCACTCTTGCTATCTCTCAAATAATCATAATTCACAATAATTCATCGATACTCTAACTGATTTCTGGTCAATAAATCAAAAAAGTAAAGTGAGAGGAAACTAAATATAGCAAATGAATAAGAAGCCAGGCACGAAGGAGTACATTTGAAAAGCTTCGCATAAGATCAAGCAGTACATATTCGCAAAAATTAGCATATGTTAATGTGCTAACCTCGCAAAACATTAAAATTATATACATTCGTTGCCTGACTGGGAGAACTTTAAAAAGCCCCTGTACATGGTTTAGAGAACACTACGTTATAATAGACGGAGAAAGTTGTACCCTTTCGCTCATACCCTCTAACAGCGAAAAAATGAAAACCGAAAACTTGGAAACTAATCACCCCACTTCTCTCTCCCAAATGCTTTCGAAAGTCATTACATGAACTTATTAGTGTTGTGTCGCTGACAATAGCTTCCTAACTTATGAGATGCTTTGTTCCTGGAAGAGGTTTACAAAAAAATTCCTTCGAATCAAGTGTCTTAAGCAATACTTTTATTACCAGAAAAGTTTTACAAAAACATAATTACAGTATTATTATTAATAATGACACTAGCTATAACAATAGCAATAATGGTAATAACGACGTTTAACATAAAACATAATAATATTCAGGTAATCATGATGTTGATAACTATAATAAAACAATAAATCAACTGATACGATATATGCACTCTTAATAACGTTTTCTCACTACATACACAAGTAAATAAATATAGTATTTTTTTATGTACAAACTTATTTTGGTCTTGATTCTCCTAAAGTCTTCATGCGCAAACACAATTCTTGGTTCTTCTGAATTTCTGCACTGTGCCGCTTAGATTGACTTTCACAAAGTCATAAATTGGCTTACACTTAGGTGATCCGTACCTCGGGATACTACTGAGGCACTTGAAGCTGACCGCGTTACACTCCGCTTCTTGATAATCATAGCAGACAAGCCATCTCCTAACACAACCGTTTGATGAGATCCTATAATGACCAGCATTGCAGATATCTCTCAGTGTTTTCACTTCCCTTTTACTTCGGGCATCTGTTGTATTATTCTGGTAAGCTACGTTTGGTTCAAGTTTGTCGTCGGCGAAATCTTCTCTTGAAGCTTCGAGTTCAAAAGGTTTACTGAGAGTTTTATTGGGAAGAAGAACAGCCAGGAAAATAAAGAAACACAGCCACTGCAACAGAAGAAAAATTGGGAAGTATTAGAATGATCAAAAACGACAATTTTTTACACAATAAAAGCCTTAGTAAAGAATTTCCAGTGTAAGAGGATCGTCGATTATGCGAACACAAATAAACTCACAAACGAATCAAAATCGAAGGCAAAAAATTTCGAAGGGGAGGGAGTGAGGGTGTTTGGAAAATATACAGCTCCTGTACCATTACGTAAAAAATTAATGCCAACAATACCCAACGCTTATTTTGGCCAAAAATAAACAATTAAATTGAAAAAAAATAACAAGCAAGGAAACAAAACAATAATTGGTAAACTTCATTACAAAAAGCACACATTCCTGCAAACAATTTGCCAAGTTTGGTGGAGCGCATCGATATTTTAACAACATCAATACGTATCGTATGATTGACAGTGAGGAGAATTACAAATTTAATCTGACAGTTAAAGAGTTAAGTTATTATCTTCTTCTTTCTTTCCAAAATCTGCCATAGGTCACTGATACATTTTCTTGTTACTCAAAAGCAACTTCGACCAATACGATCAACAAGGTCAAGACTGCTCATGTCGTTTAATTTACCTCTGACAATCCTGCCTTTGTATGGAAATTGACCATCATTTTCCAGTCTTCAATAAGTTCTACTACACTGCAAATTGATCTTCAGCTTCTGAGGGCTCAAAACTCAGCAGATATGTTGCTGTACATTTGAGGAGGTTAGCTTTTATACTCTCCAAACAATGATTTCTATTTTTATCTAGTGTTATCAGTCTATTTATTCATATCCTTTCCAAAAACCGGGAATTTAAACGTTGGTAAGAATAATTCAGCTCTTCCAATAGTTCCGTTTGATTTTCTTAAATATTACTCAGATATACCAAAAGAAGAGAGAAAGCCCTTAAAATCTTAAGGGTATAAACCATTTTTGAGTCCCCGAAAAAGTATTAATTTTGACTTTCCAGTTATATCGTCTTAAACACGTATTTTTCTGACTATTTCTGGCCATTTAAGATGACGTTACAACGTTAATTTATGGCAACTGAAGCCATGCATGGCTTCAGCCTTCCCCTTTTACATTCTTTCATTTAGAGGTTATGAGTAATAAAATCACAACTGTGAGTTTGTGGCGATGAGCAAAATCACTTGTCAATAAGATTTATGATTTCAGTTCTAAATGAGAAAAACTTGTACCCTCTCTCTTGAATCACAAGAATGTTTTCTTCAATTTCCATCCTCTGCACGGTTGGGAAATACCCTTGTATTGACGCCAAACGTAAAACAGATCATGCTTGGCCGCCCATTTCTCTGCTCAGTGTCTCAAATAGGTAAACTTTCATGAATTGAGAAAATCCATGTACCGTTAACAAATTTAGGGGAGGCGCTGTAGCGATTCTTGCACTGTACACTAATAATCGTGGCACTCATAAAAAATGTTTTCCTTTATTTATCACTTTGACTACAAGGTTTTCTTCTATTCCAAGATGGTGTGCGGTTGGAGAATCCCCCTGTATTGACGTCAAGTGTGTTACAGTGACATAAACAGAATATAAAATATATTAATCTGCACATTAATGTGTCCAATGTAGCAAATAGAGTCGATAACATTAAATGGGGAAAACCTTTGTATAATCAGAGGGTCGTAACAATCATAGAACTGCCCATCAGTATTTTCAATTACAGAATTAAAATTTGAATTGCCGGTACATCGAGAGCGCAGCATAAATCATTTAATCGTTTAGACTTGTCATCGCTTTGTATCGCAATACTTTAAGGATGCTATAAATATGTATAATATAAGAAGTTTTGGTGTGTAGTATCGCTAAGTATTTTTTACGATTTGTGCCGTATTTTGACAAGTCCGTAGGAGAAGTAAAAATACAACATAGGAGTTAAAAATACTATGCGATACGTCTAATTAGTTATTTATATTCCAACTGCTCTATGTTATGCGCATTTCCTATGATGCTGAAAAAGCGAAGCAGATAGAGAGGCGTACAACACGTAACTGACCTGTTAGGTTTTGTTTTGTTATGTTTCACAGTACAATATAATCAGCTGTCCAATATCGCGTGACATGTTTACTCGATTCGCGCTATTTGCACTTTACTTAGTGCCATTCGATAATAATAAAAGTTATGGCCCCGATATGCGAATTATTTCCACTATAAAGGAAAATACTGAAAAAACACTTGTCTGACAAGATGAGAAGGAACAAACATAATGTACCTTGATCATGCAGTAAGATACTGATTGGAATGGCTCTCCCCTGATTCAGTGGTAATTGAAAGTGTTACGAGACACAAATTCATATATTGCCGTGCGACTACCTTCCAAACAGAAAGAACGAACTCCTATAATTTTGAAAAATACCTTAATAGAGGGAAACATTGCGGTGTTCAGAAACCCACAAATCTCCCCCTCCTAAAAGTAGTGTAGCTATTTAATTTAATCTTCAGTTCAACCAAAAAAACTACACCAAAATAAAGCAAAAAAAGAAAAAAAAGTTAACATTCTGAGTATGAATATTTAATGACACTCACAGATGACCGGATCAGTTAAGTCTAAAAAAACACAAACTTTAAAATCAATTTAAGTGTTGTCCACTAATGACATTTGAAAATACACATAATGTATTAAGGTAGTAGGAAATATTTTTTCGAACATCGATTCGAGGAAATCTAAACAAAACTGTCAGTAGGCATCCTTACCGCTATCCTGCGGTCCTCCTGCGATCCTCATCAGATAGCTTGGAACGTTGCCATGGGGAATTTCTCGTTACATTAAGTCTCCTAATGTTTTCATTGGCCTCGTTAACCGTTGTATTGTTTAAAGCCCTTGAGGCTCACCCAGTGATAAAAACGTTCGTAATTATCACCTTAGCCATTATAAATATTTTAACTGTTCTCAAGTGACAGATGTCGAGGAACGCTTCAGATCACGACATGCATTATGGTGTAAGTCTTTGTTTTACACCAAGAAGCAACCTACTCAGTACAAAAAAAGGCAATTGAAATGGCATTTTGACTCATTTATGTTTTATTTATGTTTTAGTCTTTTTTGTTGCCTCGGGTGTTTTTTTTAATTAATGTGCAAGAAACGCATTAATGGCGAGTACCTGCAAAATGCAAATCAGCCTCAACATTGCCCGCACGCTATAATCAACTAACACGAAACATGAGCTTCAGTTTATGCAAACACCACGCAGAAATATCATGAATTACCTTTTCATAGAGAAAATTAAATGAGAATGTTATGAAATCAATTTTATCGAGGTAGTTTTTGCAGCAGAAAGATTTTTTTAAAGATTTGAATTCCAGTTTGATTGGTAGGAATAAAGTGTTCAAGACCATTTTTTTTTTTTACTCAGGCATGATAATACTTCAAACCTGGAGACAAGAAGGAAGCTATAATTTGCAATTAAGATAGTGACTTGGATCGGTTTAATCAAGCATTGATGTGTAAATAGACAGAACAAGTAAAAATTTTTAATTAAATTCCTCTCTATTTGCTCTCTTACTCGCATGCACAAACAACCTTATTTGAAAAACCACCTATACTTTCGTTGCCACTCTTAATTGCGAAGCAGTTGGAAACAGTTGTGCGGAAAAACGGGCAACGATATGGCAGCTACCAAAGTTCATCTTCTGATGGCGCTAAACGGCATTCTATGCTCTATCGGAACTGTCGTCAATTTTCTAGTGATCGTCGTCGTTTTGAAAAATCGCCAAATGCGTAACGAACTCAACTTACTCATGGCAAGTTTATCCATTGCGGATTTGATCGTATGCCTGATAGCTCAACCAATGTACATTGTCATTTTGGGAAAAGAGACCACTGCTGGGTTTAAATATGCCTTTGAATTAACGGCTTTTATCGGTGTTCATGCTTCCTTCAATAGCCTCACCGGAATCACAGTAAACAGAATGGCTGTGTTACTTAATCCATTCTCCTACACAATGTCTCATCATCGGACAAGGTTGTATGTAAGCATCCTCGGTGGTATTTGGGGTTCTTCCATAATCCTTGCTTACTTTTTCACCACCGACAGTGGAAGAAAAGTAACCCCACACGTCCATACTTTCATGTTTGCATTATTTATTTTCACCTACACCTATATCTTCTGGGTGGCTCGCAAGCAGGTGCGCAAAATTTCGTCTCAAGTGCAATCCGTCTCCTTCAACCACAAGGCCGCCAAGATCAAAAGCGAAAACAGTGCGGCAAAAACGTCGGCAATCCTCGTGAGTGCCTCGTTGATATGCTTTTTCCCTGATATCGTGTTTGATTGGATGGGAATTGTTGACAAGATGAGGTTTGACTGGGCTTTCACCCTCCTGTTCTTAAGTTCATCGGTAAACCCTTGTATTTACGTCATGAGAAACGAGAGCTTTCGCTTTGCATTACTGCGAACAACACGTTGCATTCCCGTTTTAAGGGATCACATTATTTCATCCAATCGGGTAAATCCAATTGGTTTGGACAGTACTCATAGATCTAGAGGAGGAGCGTCGAGGAAAGAAAAGGGAAGCACTGTAAAAGGACAAACCGATTGTGATCTTGAAGAAATCGATTAGATGAGTTCATACATTTTCAAACTGGAGCTCCCTGAGCTCCTCAAGTAACAAGAAGCGTATACTCAGCCGGGGGGATATTTTTACAAATGTCAACGGCCTGACAGAACACTAATAAATTCACTTGAAAATGCAAAGAAAAGTTCAATTACATTTTATGAAAGAGGGATTGAATACACTGGTTATCTAATAGAAGACGTCAAATCGACATTGCACAACCTCAGCCTTGAAGCAAAGTTGTTACCATAACGAGTGGTGTTTCATGCGTTGGATAAAAACTACCTGCAGCTGGCGCACGATTCTAATAAATTGTGATCGTTATCGATCAGGAATAGTAGTTTTTAGCTGATAAAGTTATATCAGTTTCAAATACTATACACCCAGATGGATAATTATGGCAGTTGGCACGCAGGTTCTTTGCGTGATTGTCGTAGCTATAAGTCATGGTCAATTTGTGAAACCTAGCGTTGATTATTAAAGCCTTCAAAAAATTAAAATAACACAAAACTAGCAAACACAACGCTGTCAAGTAGATCGACTATGACAATTATATGTGAAACAAAAATAAATAATACCCGGCCCCAGTACGACAAAGATTCAAATAACATTTATGCAGCTGCTCTCCTCACCTTTTGCATAAAAGAAGGTTCTACTTAACGCCAAGACAAGAAAGCAGAATTAGAAGGTTTAGAATTGCTAATTTACATCTTAAAATTGAAAAGATTCTCCAAGTATCCGTCAGTCTAAATGGGCTGAAATGGATGTTTATCTTGATATTGACGGCGCGATTTAATAAGCAGACTTTCTTGATAATCGAACACAAAGTATTTTTTTTTCCATCTCGTTTTTCCTTCCTTTACATCATATCACTTACTTTTTTTAATTTTGTTCGTATTGTTATCATTATTATCATTTCATTTGATCAGAGGAGAACTGATTACATAAGAAGCAAATCAATAAGGACAGTATTTGTCTGGCGGGGGTTCCAGTAAATAAAATTAGAGAAAATTGTGACAACTTTCTAACTCAAAGAGAAAAGAAAGAGCGCAAATTTAGCTTCGCAACAATCTGCAAAATTTGCGACAAGAGCTTTCGTCGATTCTGTCAGGGTCTGCCACGAGTCCGAAAATCAAAAAAACTATATCTGATTTCAATGACAGCGGACATAAAAGAATAATATATGTGAAATGCAGATAAAGAAGTGAATATGAAAGCGATCTTCGCAGTAATGAGTAACCAGTAAATGTGATGAGTATTTTACTACTGTTAAAGTAGTGTTCATTACTGCGAAGACCGCTTTCATGTTCACAATTCCTGTTTTAGTTCGTTGCAAATGTCATGAGGAAATCATCTCAAGCCTTTATTAACTTTTTCGTTTATGATTATTCATTTACCTGGTATTTCTCTAAGCTTTTTAAGCTTTTTAAATTTAGGATCTATTCACTTCCCGCCTCGTCATTGCAAAAAAATGAGTTAAATAAACGATACTTCATGGCACTGTTCCTCATCACATCTTCGCTACCATGCAGGATATTTCCAAGTATCTCACTGTCAGATTACGTAATCAACATGTCTGGCTTAAGCGAAAGACAAAACACTTTAATTATGAAGAGTTTAGAGGTTGATGGTCGGTAAGAAAAGTTCGTTTTGATTTGGCTCAGCAATAACGGGCCAAGTGAATTGAAATATGTATCATTACGTATAATAAAAACACACAGCAGCTTTGTATGAGGGTTAATATGGTTTAATCTACTGTGTTTGATTTGAGTTCTTCGACGTCGTTTAACCTGCAATGAAAAAAAGAAAAAAAAAAATATGAAAAAAACAATAAATAGACAAAGAAAAAAATGCGACAAAAGAAGAGAACATCGTCCTACGGTTCCAGACCCGTAAATTACCCCCACCAACCCCCGGACTCGTCCCTAAATCCCCTTGAAGAAAACCGTCGACAACCAGTGCTGAAGAGTTCCATTATAGTTTTTATTGCAGTGAAGGCTTCAAAATAAAGTGACAAGAGCTCCGCCTTTGGGCTTGGTTAATTCTTCATATGATGATAATATCATATCAAAGAAGTTATATGTGACAGCTGAGAGCAGTCTTTAGCCACTAATAGTGACATATATACCGGCGGTTTCCAGTTGCGTCATAGCTATTGCTAATTGAAGGATAAAAATTGGAACTTGGTTATGTTAAAAGTAACTTACAAGCATGGCAGGTTTTGGGGCAATCCTTTCTGAAACTCGGATATTTAATGCAGTAGTGCTTATACCTGGGGCAATATGTCTGGCTATCTCGGCAACCTGCAAAAGAAAGGCGAATACCAACTCATTGCCATCTGTTGACTTTTAGATCTCGCACCCACGTCGCTTCTTTAGCATCGCCTCACCGAATTTATGCATCTCTGGTTGGTCTTTGTTTTCTTTCCCGAGTATAACCCAGCAGAGAGAGGAAAAGCGAATCGTATAACTGGAAACAAGGGTGCATTAAAAAAAGAGAGAAAAAGAAAAGGAAAGATAAAATTAAAGTGAGAGAGACACACTCCCCCATCGTCATTGTTGTGTTCACTTACCAGGCCCTGGTTTCGGTGGAGACGGCTTGGGTGGCGTTGCTGGTGGGGGTGGCGTCGCTGGTAGCGGCGGGCTCCCTCCTGCACGAATTGTAAAAGAAAAGAATCGGGCGTAAATTCTTGCCTCGTCTGTTGCGTCTCTGAGCCAGGTCAGCCGCAAATGCTTCTGACGTACGTTTTCGTCCATTTTCGGCACAATCTGGCAGGGCGAAAAAGATATTCTTTCTTATCTTTCCTTACCTATTTCATTCATAATCCACGGGATATAACTTGTGATTCTTGCGAACACAGTGTAGGCGGTCGGCAAACATCCCTTTTTGCCAAAGCTAACAGCACCGTGCAGATACCAAGAGTTACCCTGTTCACACACAAGTGGACCTCCACTATCGCCACTGCAACCAGCTGAATTGCTTTCCTGTCCTTTCCCAGCACATAAGTGAGCCTTGCTATCAAACCGAGTGTATTTCTTTGCACAATCGTCGTTCGACACTATAGGCATCTCCCCTTGTTGCAGGATGTTCGCTTGTTCGCTCTCTGAAACAAGGCCCCATCCTTCCAACAAAAAAGAAGAGAATATAAATTAAGGCAATGAATGTTCAGTGTTTCACGGAAACGAACTTGATTATCGTGATCATGAATTCCTGTGTTTCTTTATCTTTCACTTATTCAAGAAAACGAAAGCACTAAGCAGCGGACCTGACGCTTCGGATATCATCTCTTGAAATGAGGCAGACATTGTTTGAATGTTGTCTCTGTCATGTATGTAGCTAGTCTGCCGCGATTTTAAAAATACGACTACTGCGGACCCTTTCAGCGCATTGAAGACCTAGGTTTTTGTTAATCACCTAATGATTAAGTTATCTACTACTTCTAAAAAAATTAACAAAATAAACAAAAACCAAACAAAATAAACAAAACAAAAATACACAACCAAACAACAAATCTCAGAAGACTGATAAGGGTTCCTGATTACAATTTTTCCAAGGATGAAAACAAACTTTTTCTAGAAATCAAAACTCTCAAACCTGTTATAAAACACTTCGTCCCAGGCTTCGGTTCCTCGGTGGGAAGGCAAACTGTGGAGACCTTATCACTGATCGTTGCTGAGCCTCTGAGCTCAAGAACCGCAATGTCATGTTTCAGAGTCTCCATAGTAAATTCCTCATGCAGGTGAATGGCCTTAACCCGAAACGCCTTTTCAATCGAAGTAAATCCAAGGCGTTTGTGGGCACCTAAAACGACAATATCATACTATTTTTTGGTTGTCATATTTATGACAACCAAAAAATTATACTTAATCGCGGATATCGACAATCAAGTTCGCGTTAAATGACAATCAAAATTTCTTAAAGGAAATGGGATTCGGAATATGTGGAAATAGGCATTGACATTTTTTAGCCAGTGAAGACATTAAATTAAAATGAGATCAAGAGCTTTAGGGTTTTTTTAAAGGAAATGTGGAGGGGATGGCACATGGAACATCTCGCACGTAAAAGAAAACGCGATTCAGATTTTTGGATTTGAACGTTTTCAAGACCTGAATTATAAGGTGTTTCTCTTGTCGAGAAAATAAATTATCCCTCCGAGAGAGAGAGAGGAGGGGAGAGGGGGTTGGGGGTAAGTGCCACGAGACCTCGCTCCTCCCAAGCTAACGTTTTAAGATGAGTTGGCTTGACGACATAATCTGTGCATTACCTACAACAACTCTGTAAAATCCTGGATATTTATTCTTGTAGACACAGTGAGCCGCTGTAACCACCCAGTTCGGTTTGATCAGAGATCCACCACAGATGTGCATTCCATCTTTACGGAGAGATACCTGCCATGGCCACGAGTGAGGTGCAGCGTTTTGCCCATTTACCACTCGTGTAGAATGGAAGGGTCTTTTTCCACATCCTTTAAAGAGGGTAGATGAACATGAAAAGAGCAATACAGTAAGTTTTTAAGTTAGCTAAAAAGAACTTGAGAAAAGATGGATCGGGGCAAAAGAATATTTTAACAAATCAAGGTGAAATTAAACCGAGTAGTCTGGTGAAATCCAAATTATAGCTTAATGATAGCTTCATTAAACTTTTAATCGGCATTTTAATAATTATGATAATATGGCAATATAACCTAATCACCGCAAATATTTTAAGCAGTAAAGAAGGCGGCACTATCTCACTTAAAAAGGTACGAAATATAATATCCAAAAAGAAAATGTCTCACCCATAGTTAATAATATTTTCTAAAAAAATTAATTATGGGAACGTGCAAAACAGTCAAAACGTTTCTAAAAATTCAAATCTAGTTAATATTAAAAACACTGCACTACAGGAGGGAGAGAGGGAGATCTTATAGGTTTTTACATGGTCTGCCACGAGAATTATCCAGTTGGACACTGGCAAGAAATTCAAATCTGAAACCATTCATTTTTTCTTACGTTTTTCTCACACGCGCACTAAAATATCACATTTCAATCACCATGGAAACTGGAGAGGATACACATCTTATCCTATCGGTTTCCACAACAACAACATCACTCACAAATCTGCTGAATACGAGTACTGGTCAAAATTGTTGCACTGTTCACTTCTGAAAGGGACTGCAAATACATTATTTATGAATTTGAGTATCTAGATCCGGGCACGGTGACAAGAAGAGTATTCAATGGTTTTTGAAAAAGTTTATACCCGCGACGTTTCGAGCACGTGCTACTGTTAGACTGCAAAACAACTCTCGCTTACCTCAATTTTCAGGCCTGACTTTTGCACAAGATTACTTTCTGACTCACTTGAAAAACGTTTTGGATTGTTGTCTTTCTTAAATGTCAACTTCATGAACTCTCACATTTCTACAACCTGGTTGTATAACCGCCCTCGATCAGCCGCGGACCGCTGAAGCTTCGGTTTGAGTAACACGTCATCATGTAACCTACTCCAGGTGTCTCAGCTCAATGGCTGTAATATCTCAACAACTTCCCCAACATATTTGAACAAATCGAATGCAAAGCAATTCTTTTGGAAAATAAATGTGGTTCTTTGACTTTCCCACGCATGGAAATAGCTAATAAACTTGACGTAACTTTCTCGTCGGTTTTTGCTCAGATACAAAAGACGCAATTAGTGTGCGTGAGGTATTAAACCAGAACAGTGGTTCTGTGTTCAGTGCGTGCCATCTAAAGTTAAAACATAGTTATAATTCTGAGATAATCATAATGGTATTTTAAGCAAGTATTTCATTTACGTACCGTGACAAATCGAAGGAGCTAAAAAGGCAACAAGTACAGAAAAAAGAAAAAACATCGTTGATTTTTTTTCACTGCGCTTCCTTCTCAACACTGGTGATGCGGATTGTCGGTTGGTTTCTCAGTTGAAACTGTTCAGCAGCAGTTTTCTAAGTTAAACATAAAATTTATATCTGTCATTTTTGTTGTTTCAGCATTGCCTGGGCAAGATTTTTATTGAATCCATTCAAACACAACTGCCCCATGTGTGTGAAATCGAGGAGTGTTGTGAAGGCTGAACCAAGAACTATGTGTAACCAGTTGATGTAAATGCTGCATTGGTTCAAGCACACCTGCAAAGGTGTGTAGGCGTCTTCGTTACATTTGAAAACACAGATCAACGCATAACTAAACTGTCACGCAAAATTTTCCCAGAGGGAAATTTCCAGTCGTACAACGTCCATCATCATTCTGAAGAACATTTCAATTTTTCTTGGCTTGCCATCTCAGCTCACTATTAGCCATTGAGAAATTTAATTGATGTAACACGCTGAAATAGCAAAATACTTTAGGGAACAATCAAAACACGATTTAAGATGGACTCTCCTATGATAGGGGATGCAATTTGGGGAGAAGATCTAGAGCACAATGAGATAAGCCTGTTTGCGCAGCCTTTAGAAGCATTTACGACACCTCTAATTGCACAAGAGGCAATAAGATTATTGTAGAAAATGAGATATGAACTTCTTAACGCCACCAACAAAAAAGAAAGGTCTCATTGGGTTATAAATGAATGAGTAGGGAAGTACAAATGACAATAAAATGATACTCAGATCGAGCTAAAACTTTCATGGTGCATTACAAAAAAGAGGAAACGGATCAAAAAATGACGCCCCTCTGATCATATAAAAACATCTCTCGTTTCAAAACAGACGAATTTTTAATCCCTCCTCTCCTCTCCATCCCGTGAAAAGGTGTATAGGTTAGGTAACACCCTGTTCATTTTATGATCAACAAGTTTTCTAACCTATTAGTGTTCCGTTGGTATTTAATAAGATTTAATTATTTGGGCTGTACGGTATAGCGCTAGAAATGATGGAGTGCTTTTGGCGCGTTTTTTTCTTTAGCTCATCTTTGTAGAAGTAAAATGATACGGGGGCATTAAATTTGTAACGATTACTTAGATATTTGCAGTACTGTGTTATAGTCCCTCCCATCCAGCACCGCCTTCCTCGGCCATTACTATAATATTTATTCAATATCAACAGACAAGAAAAGTGGGCATTTTATCATATACTTTTATTGCTTCCGTCGCTTTTGTCAAATGTGTTGATACAAATGAGTTTGGAATGAGATTTATATGCTATGCATCAAGGATTCAACCTAGAAAGAAAGAAATAAAGAATCAAAAGTTGTAAGGAAAGCCGTTTATCTTCATGATTCCAAGCTGAGCCTTTCAGACAATCATGAAAAAGACACGTGCGCTTTGACACGACGGGAAGTAAAACTTACAGTTGTCACATGTGAAAGGGCAATCCCTTTTTATGTCAGGCATGAAGCGACACCACATCTTATTGGAAGCACAGTCTTCCCGCTTATCCTTGCAGCCTGAATGAGAATGCAAGAAAGAAAAAAGATCGCGATTCATTTAAAAATGGTACTTATGGAAACAATGGAACTTTCCTTAGTACGTTATTGGTTCAGAGAACTAGATTGTCAAATAAACAGGTGTCCATCGTGGAGGTATTTTAAGAAAGCGCCATTAGCTTCAAACGACCGTAGATTGCCCCACAACAATATTTACTCACCCGGTGGAGGCGTTTTGGGGGGCAGTGTCGGGGCTGGCGGTCTGTTGACTAATAAAGAAAACAATACCGATCAGTGAGAGGCAAAATACGGTTTATTACAATCAAATATATTAACTTGTAATCAAGACTGATTTCAAGCTTCTTCATGACGCGGCTATCAAGAGTCGCTAAATCATTTTAAGCAGTGTACTTCAGCAATCTTTCACAATTTCAAGAGTAGTACTGAAAACAATCTGTTACCTAACTTGTCCATTATCCAGGGCAGGTAGGTCGTGATTCTTGCAAACACTGTGTTGTACTTAGTTGGACAGCCTCGTTTCCCAAAGCTTACAGCGCCATGCAGGTACCAAGTGCCATCCTTCTCACAAACAAGCGGACCACCACTATCTCCCTGACAGCCACCTGAGCCACTCGCATGCCCCTGTCCAGCACACAAATGAGCTTGCTTGTCGTATCGGTCATACTTCTTTTTACATTCTTCGTGGGAAACGATTGGTATCATCGCTTGTTGAAGGATATCGGGGGCGGACCCACCTCCTCGAAGACGTCCCCATCCTGAAACGAATATGGTTATAAATCTGAGTCGACCCTCAAAACACTAAGAGAAATACACCAGAAGATAAAATATGAAAAAAAAAAGTTAACATGGCTGTAGATACGCAAAGGAAGATTGTGCATTTCCTTCTTGATAGGCTCAACCTACTCACAGTATTAGTTAATTTATTTAGTCGTTCTAAACAAAAGACTTGTTCCATTCCAAAGATTTGATTACATTCGGTGTTCTTTGTAGACTTTAATTCCCTAGCAAACTAAATTAAGTTTTTCAGAAGGAAAGGTTTGAAATATCGTTCCATTTAGATGAGGTAGGGCAGTTGATCAGATAGCAGCTTTCACAGCAAATAGCTTCATACAATTTTTCTTTTCTAACCTGAAATATAACATTCAGTTCCAGGTGCTGGCTCTTCAGTAGGAAGACAAACGGGTGACACTTTATCACTGATCTTTACCGAGCCCTTCAGCTCAAGAACGGCAATGTCGTGTTTCAGATTGTTCATGGTAAAACCATCGTGCTTGTAAAGAGTCTTCACATCGAACTCCTCTTGAACAGAAGTTGAACCTTTTCGTCTATGCGCCCCTACGTAATGAGTTAGTAAATGAAAGGCTCATAGAGGAACTGTGACACAAGGTCTATCAAGGAAAAACCAAAACAAAACTGATGATTTGAAAAAACAAAAGGTATGTTGGGTAAACTCCTAGTTATAAGCTATGAGGTACGTGTGGTACCAATGTTATGACTTATGGATTCCGATTCTAAAACTGAGCGTAGAATATCATATATGTTATATTCTGTATCACGGTATCGACAAAGTTTTTTTAGGGTTCTAGGGATGTGGAAAGGTCTCGTTGGCATCTCTTTTGTTTAGCCATTTCTTGATTGCTTGCGAACGAAAAGAATCAGATTCAATTGGTAATGCTATTTACGCATTGGGCGTGTACTCATTCTTTTTAATTACCTACTACAACAGTGTATCCTTGTGGATATGGAAAATTTCGTACGCAGTGAGCCGCGGTTACGATCCAGTTAGCTTTGATAAGAGATCCACCGCAGATGTGGTGGCCGTTAACCCGTAGGGAAACCTGCCATGGCCACGAATGAGGCGCTGCATTCTCGCCATTAACAACTCGCGCTGAGAATGGTCGCTTACCGCATTCTGAAATGGAGAGAAAAAAATGTAACTCACCAGCGCCGGAAAACACATTTAGGGAACACGACATTTTAGTAGAGAGCTCACTTCATTTAAGTGTGTTAAAGCGTCGTGCTCGGAAAAACAATGTTACGATTGCTCCCAACAGAACTCTTAACCGAGACCTTCCAGTCAGTTCTGAAGTTCTGCTTGGTGATGAAAATGGCATAATGGCATATGTTGCAAGGGCTTTTGATGGTGCTTTTGCATCGACAACTCGCAACAGTTGAACTTATACTGGGCCGTGGCCTGGATCTTTACAGTCGTTTCCTGAGATAAACTTTCATTAAGGCCGCGTATAGTCGACTTCAATGTTTCTATTCTCATGTGAGAGAGGAACCCTGATCACAATAAACAAAATATTCACGAACTCCAATCTACCTCTTGATAACGAGCTCTGAATGTGCAACTTACCGGCTTCACGTTGGCTGAATGCAGGAATCAGTACGGAGAGAAGAACCGTTGCAATTGCGAAGAAAGACATCTTGTTAGACTAGTGGGCTCAGATCCTCCGACTACTTTGGCGACTAGTTTATATTTTTTTGACAATACTTAGCGAGTAGTTTGTTTGCACATATCTCAGCTGTACCATCCCAAAGACATAACTTTTTAAAGGAAGTTTATTGCCAGCTTTCGACTTAAAGGAAAATTCGCGATCTTTTCTGAGTTTCATTACCTCGCTACCTACAGAAATAGTATATTTGCAGCTGGTAAACCAATGTTATTTCATAGACGTGACAGTTTATACCATGGGTTATTTGCTCACCTGTAAATGGTTGCACGCTCATCTTACACCTGATAAAACTATCCTCACAATGAGTAAATAATGAGCCATTTATACCACTTTTTTCCCCATGAATTATAAAATACATTGTGATTGACAGCGTCACTTGAAGATCCCAAGGCCTCTGCATAGCATTTCTTTAGCGATATATCACAACGCGAAAGCGATATCTTGCTTTGTACAGAAGAAATACAAGAAATATTTCCCTGTAACATTATAAAACTGAACCGTTTTTTTTTTGTTTGCCATTGTTTTATTTTATCCAAGCACTTTGTGCGTAAAGAATATAGGGTTATTGGGAAATCTTGCCGAAGTATCTTTGAGTAGCAGTCATGCTTTGTTGGGAGAAAATAAGGAGTTTGTTCCGCAGCCTTTGAAAAAAACATTAAGTGGTGTAACGATGAGACAAAAGATAATTTTTCTTAAGAGTAGTGATATATCTTGATTAGTTTAACAACAGCTTTAGGAAAATTGGCGAGTATTTAATGCTATTTCAGTTCAGTTAAAATATCGTTCAAATATTGTCCATAGCTTGCGATTTTCACGATGATCTTTGATAATTTTTTGCATTACTTTTTCCAAATTTGTTAATATGCATATTTTTTATAGCGATTTATGAACCGAAAGACTAAATTATAGTCTTCTATTAATCTCTCTATTGGTGGATGGTTCTGCGGATATTAGCTCCAGGGAGTAAATGGGTTTGTATCAAGTATTTCGTATTAACCACGACAATTAGGAGTGTTAGGAAATAGATCGCTCGCGACGTTGCTTTTTCAATTCAATAAAAGAAGAGGGAAATAATTAAAAGAATTACTTTAGGGAAGATATGAACTACACGCGGTTGTTTCTTAGCGAGTCGCCTGGGAACTCCGAGCGAATTTGAATCAGGATTTTTCTATACTATATATGTTCAATTTTTCCCCCGTAACCCAAACTTGACTGATGGATTTTTCCCACTTACGGTTCGACTCGCCTCAAAAGAAATCAGACTTGTTTAGACAGTGTTGGATAACATCAGCGAGGCTATCTGTAGGACTTACCCGTTAACCGGAATTCACCTTAACCCGTATGTGCTGGCTACCCAGTTTTGCCAAGAAAATTTTGTTATTTAATTGTAAATCCACCCACGATTAAACCTTTCAGTTTCCAGAAGAAGAAAAAAAAAAAGAAAAAAAAAAACAGAAAGATAGGAAATAAAGTGAAATACATCAAAAGGGACACGATTGCTCATTTTGCAGCTAAATACTAATTTTATTTTCACTTTAGCTTAAATCATCCTTTATGCTGCAACAATTGAATCCAAGCCTCTGTTTGATGCTTTCCAAATCTAACCTGTTGAGCGTTAAAATAAAATAAAAAATGAATCAAAATTATTAAGCGAAAAGAACATTCATCCCTCCAAATGGCTGGCAAAGAAAAGCATGGAGTGTAGTTGATTATATATTTTCGATCGGAACGACGTTGAGTAACTAAAAGTCTGTGTTACTGAGGAATTTCTGTTTAATTCAAGCAAAGGATTTGGGTTCCCCTTCCTAAGTGGAGGATGGGTGTAATTGGCCAATGTTCACAGTATCAAGAGTACCAAAGTTTATTTATTGTGTAGGATTGGGATTTTTTTCGCATCTTAGATGGAAAAAAATTTCTCTATCTCATTACCGAGCTTAAATTTACCATCTTTCTTATATTGTTTAATATTTTTCGGAGTAACTTACATGCATTGCATGTCTTTGGACAATATCTTTTAATTTGTGGCCACGTTGCGCAGTAATGTTTGTTTGCTTCACACGCATTCCAGTTGTCCTTACAACCTGCAGCGAGGAGAAAAATAGTTCATTTTTCCGCCGAGCCTGACTTAACTCAGAGAATGAGTATTTTATAATACGTATGACTGTCTCTCTTTCCTTTTCCTCCTTTTTATCTTTAACTCACAACTCACGGGGCCACACAGCCTGTCACAGCCCTGGACAGTCCTCATACGGGAGTTTTTACGTAATGTTTTTTTTGTTTTGTTTTGTTTGTTTTGTTTGTTTTTAATAAAAAAACAAAAATAATAGAAAGGAAACTTAAAATATTTTTATAACATCTTGCTGCAGATATAAAAAAATAACATTTTACTTGTTTTATGATCAAAAGTCTGCCGTTCACAAAAATATGACTTTGTAAGACATAATTCCGCGCTAAACACATGGACGCTTTGCGGACCTATGTTTTTTCTTATAATACAGTATTTATTTATTTTTATTTTTTATTTTCTTGCTCGGGATCGATTTGAGTGAGCATTCCCGAGTGGGCAAGATGGGCTCATCTTGGCCATATCATACAGCCGGAATCTCGAACAAAAACGATTGGGGAACAACAGATATTTAGGAAATTAACAACAAACATGTGACAGTAACTATCGTTAAACGCACTACTTACCGGGTGGTGGTGGTGGTGCTTGCGTCGGTGGTGGTGGGGGTGGTGCTGTTCCTGGGGGTGGGGGTGGGGGATTCGGCCCACCTCCTCCTTCCCCTATCAGAAAGGTGACAGCGATACAGTCAATTTCAGAAATCAAACCTTGAAGTTCAGGTCATGTACGGTTTTGACAACCATAACGTTTTCACTGAACGAGACTATATTTCAATGAGTGCGTTCCATCATTCATTTCACAAGGAAATGATGAATCAATAAACACATAGCCTGAGATAAGAATTTGGATCTTGTTTTATTTACACTGCACTTATTAAGACCGTACAATAGTCAATACGAACCTATTTTCCCCAGTATCCACGAATGGTAGCTCGTGATCCTTGTAAACACTGTGTAGTGAGTTGTTGGACAGTTCTGTTTTCCAAAGCTGACAGCTCCATGCAGATACCACGTGCCACCTACATTGCAAACAAGTGGACCACCGCTGTCCCCGTTGCAACCCCCTGAAGCACCAGCGCGTCCCGCACCGGCACACAAGTGAGCACTCCTGTCGACCACACCGTACTTCCTCTTGCAATTTTCATGGGACACCAGCGGAAGTTTAGCCTGTTGGAGTATGTCTGGTAATCCCCCTCCGCCAGAGGTACGTCCCCATCCTAAAACAATCAGCAATTAAGGAAGAGGGAAGAGTACGGACTCAAAATGTGTATCTTTAAAGGATCAATCGTTATTCATTAGCCCCCTACCCCCCCCCCTCCCAACCCCCATCACAGGTGATAAATCGTAAAATAATGAGTGGTCTTTTAACTTCTCTTATGAAAGCGAATCCTCAAATCCCGATAAAAGTATTAGAACTCCCTCGTGAATACATGTTAAGATCTTGCAGCCATAATTATTACCCCCCCTTCATCACTTCTGCAATTTTGTTAAAAATCCAGTGTTCAAATCTGTGGTATGGAAAATAAGACAGACCTGTTATGTAACACTCAGAATTCAAATTCGCATCTTGTTGTGGAAGACAAACTGTGGTCACTTTATCACTCATCTGTACCCTTCCTGCCAGCTGAAGAACTGCTATGTCGTGCATTAGATTCTGCATCGAAAATCCACTATGTTTGTGGAGAGTTATCACTCGAAAGGTCTGTTGAACGGATGTACTTCCGGTTCGCCTATGACCACCTATTATCATCAAAGAGAAGAGAGGAAGGAAGATTCAGTGTCAAATCTGTCTGGTCTTTTTTGGCAGAATCACGAAATGATCAATTTGATTTTAAGTCAAAATGTGATGTACTTTCTATCGACTGAAAATGTTTTCTAGCGCTTTTGATCTAGTTCCAAAAAATGAAAAGAAAAAAAAAAAAATGGTCAAGTGATTATTAAAACAAACTTATTTGATTTGCTTGCTTAATTCTTTAATTAAGGTATTTTTTTGATCCGGGAGAACTGCTTTCATACCCACTACAACTGTGTATGAACTTGGTGATGGATTTCTGTCCACACAATGTGCTGCAGTGACGATCCAGTCAGGTCTGATGAGAGATCCACCACAGATATGTCTACCTCTCACACGAAGGGAAATCTGCCATGGCCAAGAGTGGGGGCTAGCATTTTGGCCATTCACCACACGAGCGAAGGGAGGACGCATTCCACATCCTGAAGTAGAACAATCGCCGCGGTCATGAGAAGCATCAGCTATAGCTTAAGTCGTTTGATGTATTATGACATAGCCAGCAAATATATTTTGGCGATTCAGTGGGACTAGCATGTTTGCCATTCCTATTGTGTTCGCTGACGAGGTGTATACATGCATTGAAACGAAACAGTGGAATCTTCTTTAAACGTGATATAAATCAACTGCTATGAGCGTGCGCTGTACATTCTTGAGACATGGGGCGCTTGAAGATTTTGGAGAGCACTAAAATAACCGGCGTTGATCAATTAAACCAAGATAATTCCTGTCCAGAAAGCCTGTCAACTATGTTCAAAAGGATATTTCGATGGGTTGTTACTTCATGTCAATTGGTCTCATTTCTTTAACTTAATAGTCCACAAAAGGAATTGATAAAGGGCCCCCCCTCTACTGTGGCAATTCTAAACTTTTAAATGAAGGGAGAGCATTCTATTTTTGGAGATGAGTGATCAATTTAAGGGACATGTCCATGCTGCGCCACTTTGAAACAATACTTCACCATTACATGGATATTAAAAGGACACTTATTTAAAAATGATGAATCTTTCACTTTTCTATTGATTAAGCGAGGACTCAAAAGTGATTGCGTTTATTTTCAAACACAATCTTTAGAATATATAGGTATTGATTTTTGCAATTAGGAATTTCTACCAGCAAAAACTAACCCTAACCCTTAACCTAAGAGGGGCGGAGAGAGAGGCAAAAGGCACTGCTTAGGAGGAAATTTAAAAAATAAGGAAAGAAAAAGAAGGCTGGAAAGAAGAAAGGTTTGGTTAAAGTTACCTTCGGTATAAGTCGGTGCAAAAGCTACAAGGACCAGGGTAATAAAGGCAATCATCTTGACACCATCCAAATTAGTACCGTATCTCTGGTTATCCCTCGCTTTAGAAAATATATATCATGCGATTTGAGCTAACATTTCAAATTCTGTCTCTACCATCTGGCTTAGTTTGCAGAAGCTGATTCCATAGTGCAATCTAGCACATCAACGATCATTCGACAAAACTGAGCATATTCAGCAGTTTAATTTCAAGGCAGTTGAATACCTCAAGACGGATGTCTTGGTTGAGAATAGTTAACCAACCTAAACCATAATTGCCAACGAGTACACTTGCGATGGAAAAAAAGGTCAACGTAAAGTTCTGCGCAAATCCCTTGACCGAAAAAAAAATTTTTTTTGTCCTTAAGGTCTACTTGTGAGGTGCACCTGGTAAAACATATTCAAACCACCTTTATATCCATGGCAGCCTGCCAATCTTAGATGGCTGTGCATCCAAAAAACGCTCGACAAGCTTTATGCGTATCCCTTGGCCGAAAAAGTAAATGTTTGTCTTCAAGGTTTACCCGTGAGATACACTTGGTCAAATATATTCACAGGACAACTTTTGTATATAGTTTTCAAACCACCTGTGTGTATCTGGCCGGCTGTCAATCTTGATGGCCGTGTGCTTTCCAAACACAGGTGTTTGACATGTTAGACCTCGCCTTAATTCTTCGTGTTGCATCTGAAATCTATCAGAAACTGAAAAAAATTTTTACTAAGTCAAGCGAAACTGGCATACGGAGGAAGAAAAACAATGCTTACATTTTTTTTCTGATAGAAAGGGCCACAAGAAAACTATAGGAAATTGGGAAAACCATGAAATCCGTGCTTCATTTTATTCCTTGAAGTGTCTAAATGTGACCCAGCCAGTTGTTGATTTTAAAAGGAAAACTTATATTCAGTTTGCAAAAAGTTTGATGTAGCCAGCAAAATTATAGAAGTACACTTCAAGGATTGTCTTTGTCGGATGTGCTTTTTTTGATACAGTTTTGTTTTATATGAGGTTAATAAACATTTCAACCTGTTCAATATTTTAAACCAGAGAATAGACAAAGAGACATTATTCAGTAACTAAGAATCACGTTCATCAGAATTTACTTTAAGTTTATTGTCATAAATTATGTTCAACTGAAATCTTCGTATTTCCTTGGAAGTTTCTTCCGTTAGTCTCAACCTGTTGGGAAAGAAACAAGAATAAACACGCCGATCGTTATGACAAACAATAACGAAAACTCCAGGTTTTCAGTATTTTCAGTACATGTACTTCGTGGTTCCGTTTGTTAAAACAAATAGCTAGTGTTATATGTATTGTAACACTAGCCTGTTATTTTTTTAGTAGCATTCTAGAAATTTATATACTAAAGTGCAAGATGATCCGTCCGTATTTTATTGGGAAGATGTCTTTCCTGTACTTACATACTCCGCAAGTTCGTTTGCAATAATTTTTCAAAAATGGCATGGAACCGCAAAGATGACGATGATTGCGACAATATTCTTCGCCCCACTTGTCTTTACATCCTGCATTAAGTGAATTGAGTAGAATACGAGGAAGGTACAAGAAAATGGTCTCATTAGTAAAGGTAATAACATGATTTCCAGTGCAATTTGGTATTAATAAGCACGAGTAAATTAAGACAACAAAATTGCACGAGCCCGTAGAGCAAGTACAATTTGTAGTCTTTGACCAATTTACAAGCGTTTATTACACCAACTTGCAAGAAAAATCATATTATTACTTGCTTATAATATACATAAAAGGATATCAAAGAAGGTCAAGGCAGACGAAATTTTGAAAGCACGCGCGCGCTATTTGAAATTTGCACTCCTGTGACAACTTTGCACTTGTGTTACATGTGAATGCACTTGTTTTCAGCCAATCAGAAGCGCGCAAGTTTTTCATGTACATTATTAGTTTATTTACGGCATCTACATTACTATTTTTCTTGACGACTCAAATCACTCAAATCCTGTGTTTATCAACATGTAAATTTCTTGGAGGGTATTCGTGGTGCCTTTAGCCTAATTGAAAACCAGACTTTACTCACCAGGGTTAGGCGGTCGTGGTGGTCTTGTCGTTACAGCCGGTGCGGGAGGGGGAGGTGTCTGCGGGGGTGGGGGTGGTTTTGGTCCTCCTGTGTCCTCTCCTGTTCAGGAAAAACCGACACCCATTTTACAGCAAAAACTTACATTAAAAAGTAGATCAGCGAGTAGTGGTGCAAATTAGAGATTGTCCGTTCAGAGACAAATAAGATAATCAACTACTATTTCGTCAATAAACGCCTTTGATTTCAACTTCCACGAAGCAACATACTAATCGTACAAGTGGTCTAATTTTTGCGGTAAGGATTTTCATTTATGAGTTTAGAGGAACTAGTTAATTAATAATCGAGCACCCTGTTAATTGACTCATATCCTCAAGAAAAGCTTGAATGTGATCTAAAAAGTCCATCACTTTGCAAGCTTAAGCGAAACGCTGCAGTACCGACCCATTTTCTCGTTTATCCAGGATATGTAGCTGGTGATCCTTGTAAATACTGTATAATGGGTTGTTGGACAGCCGCGCATCCCAAAACTGACGGCACCATGTAGATACCACTTCCCTCCCATCTCGCAGACAAGAGGGCCTCCGCTGTCTCCATGACACCCTCCTGAAGCCCCGGCTCGTCCCTCTCCAGCGCACAAGTGAGCACTCCGGTCAAGTGTGCGCCAAATCTTCCTACAATCGCTGTGCGACACAAGTGGAAGCTTAGCTTGTTGTAGGGTATTTGCTGATCCAAAATGGGTACGACCCCATCCTAGGCAATTAAAAGAAAAATATTAATTCAGGTGAACGTGGTTGGCACAGAGGATACCACAAAAGCTTTCCATTTAAGTTAAAAGAAAACCTCATGAGTTAAGTGTAAGCTTATAAGTTACTCCCTTTTTGTATCAAACCTGTTATGTAACACTTGGAATTCAAATCTGCATCTTTGTCCGGAAGGCAGACAGTAGTGACTTTCTCGCTTAACTGAGCACTCTTCTCTAAGTGTAGCAGCGCAATGTCGTGTTTGAGTTGCCTCATGGTAAAACCACTGTGTTTGTAAAGTGCCTTCACCCGAAATGTCTGCTGCACATCCGTCATTCCAGTTCGCATATGAGCACCTGGGTGAAAAAAGACAATACTCTTGTCTCCGACTGGTAAGGTTGTAATTCTGACCACCAATTTCATAAATGATGCATCAACAATTGAGATCCAAGGCAACACTTGAAAAAGTCTGGAAGATGAAGGACCAAACCTGCTATGCCACGTGTGCTACATTTTTTCTAACCGCATTTTGACGACATCTGTGATTACTAGAGAGACATATGGCAAACGGAATCTTTTTGTTTACTGGATTTGCATTGAGTAATTGTCCTAAATTTTTTAGGCAATTTTTTTAGACTGGTGGACGCAAATACAAAAATGACAGATTATGGCTGAAATATTCTATCAAAAGCAGAACTTAGTTCCTGAATGAAACCGGTTTATCCAGCCGAATCTGACTAACGTTAATTATATAAGTGCCCATCATGAACACCCGGTATCTCACCCACAACCACTGTATATGCATTTGGATCTGGATTTCTGTCCACACAATGAGCTGCAGTCAACACCCAGTCTGGTCTGATTAGGGATCCACCACAGATATGTCCGCCTCGAGAGTTGCGGAGAGAAATCTGCCAGGGCCAAGAATGAGGACTAGCATCTTCACCGTTGATTACCCGCGCGAAAGGAGGACGCATGCCACATCCTGAGGAGTGGAAAATGGAGCAACAACAATAAACGAAAACCTTCTTCACTTTTCTGTGCCTATAAATGATAACGATATAGTTCAATGAATAAAGGATCACAGAATGTTAAGGGACCTATGCAACGATAAGTATTTTTTTCCTGTTTGGGTTGTTGAGAATTGTTCTTGACTGGAATGATACGATGAAGTAATAGTTTAAACTCGATCAAGGAAACAAGGATGGCTCCGAATGACGAGGAATGAGAAATGACCTAGAATCAGAATCTCCAGGGGAGCAAACCGTTAGTAACCTGAAAACTGAAGCCAATGCTAGATGATATGCAAAAAGTCCTTTTCATTCCTCTTGTAACATCCAGGATTACATTTTAAGTCTTTTTAAAGCCAGCAGAGTTCAATAATTTAACTTAATTGATACCACTTGCTTCACCAAAAATACATGCATTGACTTTTTAGTTGAATACCTACGCCACCAGTTTATGAAAGATTGCAGGCTTAATTCTTTTCGTTTCTTTTCTTACTTACCTTCAGAAAATGAAGGCTCCAATATAACCAGCACCAGCAAGGCAGAGACAATCATATTGAAAACGAATTTATCCTAAATCTGCATCTCGTTAAAGAACCCAGTTATACCTTCGTTTTATTTGCCCGCAGCCTACAGATGTAGCAGCTGCTTAAATGTGTCAAATCTGATTCCACAAAATATCTTCCACCCTTGTGTGCGTTGCTAAAGCTGCCTTGTAACAGATTACCACTCTCAGTTGTTTATGTTTTATTAAAGGCTGAACTTTCCCTCTCAGATTGGCAAAAACGATATTCTTTGTCAGGTGTGTTGACGGAGAAAGTTGTTAAGCAATATGCGAAGCTACATGGAAAATACTTGGGTAAACGAAATAGTCTGCCAGCTTGGTCTCTCTGACAGAATCATGCCGTTTTAAGTCATATCGAATGTCAGAGACACTTCGGATAGGATGAAAAAAAGGGAACACGGTACATTTTTCCAAGGAGGGAAAAATAAAACAATATTGGAAAGAAAACGGTTAAGAATAGAGAAGCCTGAGATGGATTTTAAAGTCAAAATTTGGAATAAGCCGTACACTTCCTTTGATAAAAAATAACAGTATTCGAAGCTAAAAAGTGACAAGTTTTTAAGAAAACTAAAATCTTAAGGGTAGATTTGGAGACGATAAGAGCAAGAATTCCAAGAAGATATATTGCGTCCGTTTGTTGCACTGTGTTTTGAAATTAAAGAACTTCCTTGAAACTAGCACTGCGGTTGAACGGCGCGCTCCTAAAATATTCACTTTATCCACCTGACGATAAAGTACTTTGCGTGCTTATTCCATCTTCCTTGACTCTACTGTAGTGAAGCGACCATGTAGTTGATATGAACATTGGGGAAGTAAGTGAAGTTGCTGTGTAATACAGCTGAAATTGGAATCTTTGTTTTATAAGACTTTTGTAATGATGTCAGCTCAGAAAACAAGAGCCCCATTTTAATGTAAAAGAACACAGCTGTAGACTAAGGATATAACGACCGCGCAAACTTCACAATCTTTATTCTTTGCTGCTCCTTTATTTTTACACTAACACAAGTTTTAATCTGCTAGTTAAATGTTTGAATCCTTGACTGATCATGAATGTTCATGTGTTCCTTTCTTTAATCAATGTAAACAACTGATCTCTTTCAACCTGTTGAAAAGGAAAGATATCACGTCCTGTGGGTGGTTTGAACTAAGTTGATGGGATTCCCAAAGTCACCACCACCGAAGACACGTGGGGGTGGTAGGAGAGGGTACTCATAAGTCTAAAGGCCAATTAGAAAACAAGATCGCGTCCACGTGAGCAGAATGGACCAATACGCAGCGAATATGAGAGCAAAATGCTACTCAGAGACAAGGGTCCTGTTTGGCTGATACGGTAAAGGAGTCAATAGCGCGAAAGGGATTGGTATGTAAGACAAGTGCGAGTTTCTCCAGTTCACAGTAATGCAACGCTCTCTCTCTATCTCTCCCTCTCTCTCTTTATTTTTTTTTCTCTTTCATCTCGATCCAACTTCCAATCACTCTTTGATCAAAATAGGCAGGAATGATCTTTTCTTTAATCAACTTACAAGATCCACAAGTCTTGCGGCAATGGTAGTTCTTTATTCTGGCGTTTCGGCAGAACCCAAGTCTACGGTAGAAGGAGCACCATTGAGATTTGATTCTGTCACGGCAGTCTGCTGTGTGAAGAGTGCAAAGAAATAAATAACGAAGCAATTCAAAATGTTGACTATAAAACCGTGCAACAGCGAGGAAGCTGTAACAAGATTTATAACGAAAAGCCTTAGAATTGATACTACGTCTGTTCATATCTTTTTGTAATAAGAAAGCACAGTGTTAACCAAGCTAGTCAATGTTCCTCCCCTTATGATCCTTACAAGGTCGGATTAGAAAAATCAGAACGCTGTTTGTATTCTCGTTTCTGGTATAACCTTTTTCCTTCCGAAATGACTCAGTTTGCAAAGTGTTGAAATGCAGTTTTATTGACTGTTGTGTAGCTGCTCAAGTTTATACGTGACTCAAGATAAATCTCCTTATAAGGAAAATTTCATACTGATATTAGTGTTTCATCAACTACAACGATTCGCCCATTTCTATCGAGTGTCGAACGAGGAATTACTTTCCAATAAGTACCCACTCCATTAATCTTCCTCCCTTTCCCCTCCCCTCTTCCTTTCCCACTCCTTCCCCTCCCCCTTCCTTTCCCCTCCCCTCCCCTTCCCCCTTCCTTTCCCCTCCCTCCCTTCCCCCTTCCTTTCCCCCTCCCTCCCCCTCCCCCCTTCCTTTCCCCCTCCCTTCCCCTTCTCCACTCCCAAAGGAATGAATGAATTGTTAAAAACTAAAAAATATTGATCTTAATGGAAAGCCTCTTGGTATAGTATGTAATTATAATTAAAACTAGGTGTATTCTACGTGTCTAATTTGCTATTTTCGAAAAAAAATTCGTAACATGTAGCGTTTTACTACTGCAGACAGATTTTCCTGATACAAAAATCTTTATTAATACTTACTGGGTGGACGAGGTGGCTGAGGAGGAATTGGTGTGTTAGGTCCTCCGCTTCCCTCTCCTGGAAACCAAGGTAAAATTATATCATATTTAAGTCAGAGTCGTTTTCAACTTTGATTTTAAAAAATGATGGTATATCACATGTTCAAAAAACAATTCTTCGTGCGCGTCATGATCTTCGTTATATCTGATGACAAAAACGATAGAAGTGCAAGCTAATCAGAACAGTAAAGGATAATTTCACTTTATCAATTTAAATTATAACATAAATTGGCCGCCTGTAACCTTCATCAGAAGCAGTCAATTACGACAATGAAATTCGGCGGGTATTAGCTGGTTTTCACGTTCGTAAACTATTTTCGTAAACGCAAGAAGATTTTGCTCAAAAGCTAGATGCTTATTTTGTTTTTTGTCAAACAGCTACTACTTTATAAGTTACAATTGAACGCCTAGACTCACCTATCATCTGCAATATCCACGACTTGTAGGTGGTGATTCTTGCAAACACTGTAAAGTGGGTTGTTGGGCAACGTTGCCTCCCAAAACTGACAGCGCCGTGCAGATACCACTTTCCTCCCATCTCACAAACAAGCGGACCACCGCTGTCCCCATTACATCCCCCTGAGGCACCACTTCGACCTTCTCCAGCACACAGATGAGCTCTCCTATCAATCGACCTACCGTACTTTCTCACGCAAGCCTCATGCGATGCAAGCGGGAGCTTAGCTTGTTGCAGTATGTCTGCTGCTGGCCCGTTACCACTTATGCGTCCCCATCCTAGCAACAAAGTATATCATTTATATATGTCCCCTGAGCATCTATTGGCAGTCTTATACAGCCCAGCTCTCCTTGAAAGCAAGCTATATGCAACTAAACAGCTTAGTATGACAGTCACAACCTAAATTTGTGAAGGAAACTTTTTAATTTACATCTGAAATGCTGAACTTTTTTATAACCTCTTTGTTGCCTACCAGGTATCAAGTAATGATCGTCGGTATTACTAGTCATGCACAAAATGCTTCTCCTTCTGGACAGAATAGATCGGATCTTGATCCCCAACGCCCAACCCCAAAATAAGAAAGCTGAATATTTCGAGGAGTTTTGCTACAGCTTCCAGCTTAGGTCAGAACATTACAAACCTGTTATATAACACTGGGAATTTAGATCTGCATCTCGGTCTGGGAGACAAACTGTATTCACTTTGTCGCTCAGCTTTACATTTCCATCCAGCTGAAGAACTGCGACGTCATGTTTCAAGTTACTCATGGTAAAGCCACTGTGTTTGTGAAGAGTCCTAACTCTAAAGGTCTCCTGCACAATTGTACTTCCTTGTCGCCTGTGGGCCCCTGTCGTGAAGATGATAACGAAGGACTTCGGACTAAATTTTTGTTTAGACGGGATTCTATGGACACCGTTTAATTACTCATAAACTTCACCCTAATCATGTGCGCTCGCAATATCAGTCGTGGTTCTCCTTAGACCTAATAACTCGCCTCTGTCATTTTCCCACCTCATCTAGCTCTGCTTGTCCTGATAAAAAATGAATATGATTTTGGTACGCATACTTCTAGAAGTTGTATTATTTTGGTGCGTAGAATTTTATGTAGAATCGAATAGCCATCCGTGTTTATCATATCAAAAACTAGTGCCACTGCAAATTTTCTCCAATTTTTCTCCCACACTTCTATCTTGTACCCCTGACACGATTTGGGTTTACTCGCCTCTAATCTATCTTTGATTTCCCTGAGCCCTGGCCTTAAAAAAGAATTAAAGGTGTTTAACTTATGACAGGATTAAATAAAATAACTTATTACCCACGACAACCGTGTATCCACTTGGATTGGGATTTCTAAAGACACAATGTGCTGCAGTAACGATCCAGTCAGTTCTGATAAGGGATCCACCACAGATATGTCCGCCTCTCACACGCAGGGAAACCTGCCATGGCCAGGAGTGGGGACTGGCGTCTTGGCCATTCACCACACGGGCGAAAGCAGGACGCATTCCACATCCTGAGATAAGATTTGAATAAGGAGCTAAAAAATCTCAAGTAGTATAATATCATGCGCATCCCTCAAATGACCAAAGTGATAAGGAAAACTCACATAAAATGTTACTTTTCCTTTTTTTTCCTTTTTCTTTTTAACGATTTATTTACCGGAGATTTTCTGGCAAATCGCAATATTGCAAATTTCAGTTTTGTAGTTTTCTTTTTGGACAAATTTCAGAGTGCTTTTTTTGTTCTAAATGAACAGAATGAATTTAATGTTTTGACCACCATGAATGATATGAGAGCTTGATCAATTAAGCCTTATGGAGTTTATTAGGACTTTTTTTCCAGATGTTACACCACTTGTCAACTCTTACCTCAAACAATAAAAAATGGTATAAATTCAAACTGACTTTAACTCTTCATACCAATTTTCAAAACCCTGAACTTACCCTCCGTAAAAGATGGCTCAAAGATGCCCAAAAGGGCAAATACAACTAGCGAAATCATCTTCAAACAGCAATGTTCTCAAACGAATCTCCTCTGTGATGTGTGGCTTTTTAAAGAACCCTCGTGAGGCATATGTCGAACGGTTTGTTGAGCCTGAATATACAGGAATAAAAAGACCTAGGCTTTGTTTAATTGCAAGTGCATTCAAAGACTTCTTACGTGCCTTGCAACAAAGAAAGCAAAGCAAGATTTGAATAAGTATGTTGATCTATGAGTTGAGGTATTACAAAGTGAATGACAAATTATTTGATAATATGAATAAACATTCTTCGAAATCTTTCACTCAAAATCTTCAACTGGTAAAAAAAAGCAACTGACAACTTTTCAATATGGCCAAAAAAAGGATTTTCAATTGTTGGTATTATCGGGACTATTTGCGCAACAAAGCATTCAAAATTGAAGATCGAGTTGACCAGCTGCGAAATTTGATAAATTCAATAGTTTTGAAATGCAAAGAAGGTATAGAATTAAAACTAATAGTAATAATAAAGAAAAGCTTGATGTCGATAATTGTTTTTGACATTCACGTACGCCACCCACATGGGAGAAAAAGTAAACTCAATGTTAAGAATATGGCGGTTGATGGTAGTTTTCAACCTTTTTTATTTTTTTTTTCATTTCGTATTTGTATAACCTGAAAAGGTAACCCTATTGATTGCAATAGTTGTAGCTCAAATGCAGTAAATTTAATGCCTTAACCAAGATGCTAAGGTTCAACTCTTGTTTATTATCCTTTGTACCAATAAAGTTAATCACGGGATCTACAAGAATTTGTGTGCGCTGTAAAGAGGCTGCAGCAAAGTTGATCAAGGGGGCGATGGTATATGAGTGGTAAAGTGACGAAGGAAAGCTCTCGCCTACGCAGGTCCTTGACCTAGTTGAAATTCTTTAAGTAAGGCAGGCTCTCATATTTTACCTTTGCCTTGCAACGGATTGAAAGACTAGAAAGACCCGAGGGGATTCAAATATGTACCTGCTGGCACTTTCTGATTCTGATTTCGATTCTGATTCGACTTCGACAAAATTGTCCCAGACATGTCGATTTCCTTCGTCTTTAATAAGACTATAGCTATCGAGCCTACATTTATGGCCACAACCCGCGCATGTTCAAGATGCTGCTAGTCATTAAAGGTTTTTCAATTCTCAAGACGTGATCCAAACTTATAATTAACAAATAAAACAATAACAAAACTGCACATAGAAGCAAGGTGATCAAAAGTTCATTACATAACGGCATTAAATGTAGTACCCTGAGCTAAACCGTCTTCGAAAGCCAGATAGCTTACAAGCTTGTCTTAATTTCCCGAAGAATACCCACAATGGCTCACATCGAAATCCTTAACTTTCATAATCGCCACAACATTTGACCACTCTATTTTAGTACAATCGTTATAGGGCAAATGGATAGAGGGGAAATTTTTCTCAAGAAACTATGGCGCCTCGTCAGTGAGGGCTTTGCAAATAACTTTGTTTTTATCAAATAAGGTGATAATGTAAATTGGCCACCATAAAGAGTGTATAAAGTTGATGTTTCGAGCGTTAACCCCTCGTCAAAGTAAAAATTTTGTAGGGTAAAGCAGATACTGCTCACAATTCATCGGTGACCACAATTCCACGCTGATTCTCATTTCCGTCATTAGGATACCTCAGCGCAATCTTTTTCAATAAAAAGATGCTGCGGCAAAAAAAGGGTGTCTTGAAATACGCTGTAGTCTTTATTTGTAACAGGTAATAGTCTGATCAGAGGCTTTCTATAATGAACGTTAGTGCACTGAACACAGCACTCGACTGCTTCTATATGATTAGCACCAATTAAGGTTTTTGTTTATTGATCAAGTTTTGTTTTTCAAAGGTGAAACTTTACGGTAAAACGGCGAACAGCAATAGTAAAATTTATTACCGCCTGCTTTCATTTGTTATAATGTTTGCATCAACTGACAAAAGACAAGATAATTCTAAAACAACGCTGACTCATTTATGAAAAAGAAGAGTTCATATGTGGTTTTGCCACGTAAATGACTTGTCTAAATCTGCAAATGATTCTTTTTCCAATTACTAGGCAATTGCCAGGAGAGCATGCTCTTTCATAACAGAACGTTGGTTACAAAAATGAATTACAAAACCATTTTCTGCATTTGGCAGTCGAAAGGCAAAGTAAACACTTGGGTCATTGATTGAAACGTGAGCATCGACTCTGGGAAATCTAATTTTTAATTAAATATTTTGACAGAAAGACGAACAGAATGCCTTAAGAAATAAATATGAGCAGTTGAGACGTCAATCGAAGTAAATAGTGTCAAACAGTGTGAGAGAAACATGAATTTGTGAGCTCAAGGAATGATATAGTCTACCAAAAGCCGGTTACATTTTTTTCATTTTACTAATCAAGGCGTGGGCAAGAATTGAAAACAGAAAAAAAATTATTTACCACATGGTCTTCCGTTTACGTCAAGAGAGAAGAGCGCTTTAAATTTATACATATTGCAATTCCTGGTTGTTACGTCTACCGGTTCTCTTTGTTTTCTACATCGTTAATTGACCGAGTGAATGAAGACCTCTGGAATAGTCTCTTAAGTGCCAATATTTGTGCAAATATTCATCCCACTAAGTGCTTTTAGTTGCGATTCGAAAGGGTTTGAATAATTTACTCGATACCCTCGACAGAAAAATGATTATGGTAACAAAAACATTTTTTGAAATGTTGTAAAATGTTGTAGTTTAAACTATGAAAGTTAAAAAAATAATAAAAATAAGGAAAAATGTGGGCTATGTACTTTGTCATTCAAGTCTTCAGTTTGGCTTTAATGCCTCAACCTTTATGGAGGGTATCCTACTGTCTTTGTTTTCCTTCCCAAAAATTTCACCCAAGTTATTGTTAATATTCACCTGCTCAATTGCGTTAAAATTAACCTTTGCAATTGATCGACGACCTCGGCGAGAAACGCCAATCGTCTTGTATAAGGCGAGACGAAATTTTTCACTTCTCCACACGTAGATACAAGGATTTAAAAATGAGCTCAAAAACATCGTTGTGAAAGACCAGCGAAATCTCGTGTAGTCGCTGCTCCTCGCCAGTTGAAACCACGTATCGGGAAGAAAGAGAATCAATGAAACGCCGATCAGAATTGCCAATGTTCGCGTCGTCAGCTGATCTTGAGAGATCTTAGCCACTCTGTAATTATGAGAGACAGACTTAACCTGTGCAACTATTCGATGTCGTTGTTTTCTGGCGATGCAGAAAATCTTCATGTAGGTGAACGCAAATGTAAGGAGCATCGCCACATGGAAGTATGGCGCAGGTCTCTTTAAAACTGGGGATAAACTAAACGCAATTGCCATGATCACTGACACCAACCATACAATTGTGACAATCACAGCGATGTTTCTACCACGCATAATAATCACATATCCAAATGGAAACCACAGAGCAAAGAGTCGATTCACCGTCAAAGACAAAAGATTGAGGAACGACGAATGCAGAGTTATGTACGCAATGAGCTTAAAAGTGGCGAAGTTTCGTGCGCTCCATGGTTGATTCAAATAGTAAACATAGGTCGGTTGTGCGATGAAGCACACCGTTAAGTCTGCCGCACTGAGACTCAGAATAAAGTAATTCACACCTGTTTGCAATTCTTCGTTACGGCATATTACCAAGCAAACCAGCAGATTTCCAACGGTTCCTGCAATTGACGACAACCCATTGACAATGGAGAGAATCTCAATAGTAGCACTCGCCATGAACACAAACAGCTTGCACGAACAGATTGACGCTTTGATTTACGTAGATCTCTCGAGTTCTTTGGCATGAGAAAGGTGGTTTGATGTCAACCGTTCTTTTTTTTTTCTAACCAAGATATGATTCTGTTTGCCTGTTGACAGGAAATATGATGTTGGCAGACTTCCCTGAAGCTTTAATTAAAGCAGTACAGCATTTTTCTCCATGCGTTGTAATCTTCTTAACTAGTAGGCGCTGTTTTGACCTAAACTCAATTTCTCACTGAGGAGAAAAAGAAGATGCAATGTTTAGTTTATTTAGTAATGGCTGTGCTTAAACTTTGCTGCCACAAATAATTTTTTTTTGACAAGGCATCGATTGTGTTTTGTAAAAATCACTCAGATATTAATCAATCATGTTTGGGAATTTAATTAAAAACTGTAAACGTGAGACCAATACTACACACAAGCGTTTAGCCGGCATTCGATTTTTTTTTCGCCTCCGACTTCCTTACATGCAGCCCTACGTGCTGAGATGAAATAGAAAAATTGATCGAGGCAATTCCTAATTTTAGTGATGGTAGACAAGGCATGTCATAATTTCGTCTACTTCATTTCCAAACTCGCGGCAAAATGGAGAAAAAATTAAAAATATATTTCAAAGTCTCTTTTAAGGGTCTTTTGATATGCAACGCAACAGTGTCATCTTTGAGATGCTTCACTTTTGCATCCATGTCTTTACATAATCAGAGCTTCTCAGTATGCATTTTTCCCCCAGAGTTTGACACTTCGTCATGTTCTGAATATTTCTATCGTCTCAAAAGTAAATAGACAGGATGATAATATTTACAATGCCCATAACCTTTGATAAAATCTAGATAAAGTTTGATAATATTCGTTTAAGAAAAACGCGGCAGCTATGTATCGGAAAAAATAAAAGCCATTCTGGTCGCTTTGAAGTTATCGACTCAGTAAACAAATTTCGCTGGCGCTATTGTAAAAAATTTTTAAAAAAATATTCCAATCATTTAAACATACAAGCATCTTTCTCCACATAATTTAAGGTTGAACTTAGCATATATGGTTATATGGTAGGCTTTACCGGGGACAGTAACGTTTTTTTAGCATGTCATTTTGTTCTTTCATGAGAATTTTTTTCTGTTTCTGACAATAAGTGTTTTTATTTTCTCCTCGCTGCTCTGAGTTCATGTACGTGAACAAACAAACCATCCTCACTAACAGTTATTTAGATTTTTCTTTGATAAAAAGTTCCGAAGTCCAAGCGTGAGTCCCGCAGCTGTTGGTTGTTGCTTTCCAGTGCCGTTCCAGATGAAATTACTGCTGTTTTTTTAGCCAAATTGATTTTGCTGTTGCTGTTGATTAGATCGCGATTAGGATGAGTGATAGAGGAAAGCGCACGGTTCAAAGAATAATGCTTCTATTTACCAACGAAAGGAAAAGGGTTGAGAATTAAAGCGCTTGTTGGAATGAGTACAGACTGAGAATGAAACGACCTGAGCAAAAATATGTGTTGGTTAGAGTGTTACTTTACTACTGAGCAAAAATCAGTCCGGAATTGTCACACATTTAAATATGATGATGATCGAGAAACCGTGGCTTGCCGTTCAAGTCAAGAATACAACATAATATCGCTGCCGTCTGAGAGTTAAAGGAACATTTCTTCTATAAATAATTTCGTGTAATATTTATGGTTTTTTTTTGAGAAGAGCAGCGTTAAAATGAAAGACAATTAATGCCAGTTTAGTTCTTTTCCCTGAGTTCGCTATTGTATTACATCTCGAGACAATGTCAAGTTCCCTTTCAAAAATAAGAAGTACCAGAGAGCGGTTTGTGAAAGAAAATGGCTGAATGTAATTCGCATGAGAATTAAATGAGAATTCTCGTTGCAAATCCTATTCAAATTCTTTTTCCTCCTATGGCTAAACAATTTGTTGCTTTTAAAAAAAGGAACCAATTTTATCCAAATGTTTTACCATTTCCATGGCATTTGACCTGACGTCATTCGGTCGATAAAATCGTCATTTAGCAATGAGCATAGAGGGTTCGGCTTGATCATCATGCCCCTAAAAAATGTTTTTTTTTTAACCATTTCGTTCCCAGGGGTGACCGAATTGGAATTTTGCCTTTCATGTCTATATTCTTTCCAGCGTTAAGGTGATAAGACGAAAAATTATAGAAGCTTGAACTAGGGAATTTTGTTTGTTTCGATGCCAAATTCTCAAAGCTAAACGATCTCAAGAAGGGTATAGCGGATAATGCAGATAATAAAAGGGGTAAGTTTCTATAGAAACTGTAATGTTGCGTCGGTGGTAAAGAATAACAGGGTAACTTAGTATTATCAACTGAGGTGATAACGTAAACTGGCCACCGTAAAGGGTTTTAAAACTGACTTTCGAGCTTTAGTCCTTCGTTTGAGCGAATCAGTGCGAATCAAATCCAAATCGAATCGGTTCAGAGAATCGCCATCTTGATCTTTGTCATGAAAAGCCAGCGCACCGAGAAAGATGGATTCTTCTGAGTTGAACCCTGGAAAGTCTCTTTTACCCAGAACTTTTTCAAGCAATTTTAACCAGAAAAATTGACATGTAGATTTGGATCCAATAGATGGTTCTTACTAAAAAGGAGCATTTAATTTTTCGCGGGATTATTCCCTCGCCAAATAATCAACTTATGGTGAACTTATATAAGAACCGGGTGCGCAGCGTGCGACGGAAGGCTTTCTTGATTGTGATTTGCATGTAACACTGCTCGTTCTCATCTTTCTTGGCTGATAAAAGTCTTCTTGCTCCTAAGAAAAAATTTTTTTACGAACAGTGGTATTTGACTCGTTGGTTGAGAATGTCATTACGAATTTCGAATAGTGCAAGCACGTTTCCAAATGTGACACCGAATCTGTGATCTCACATAAAACATAACTTGATGACTCGGAGGCAAAATAAAAATTATGCTTAAAAGGAAGTCAGGCAGATATATCGAAGAAATGGACGATACGTTCTTTTTTATATAGTTTTTAACCGAGGCAGTAGCTAGAACCATACAAAATAAGAAGAAGCTGTAATTTGAAAATAAAAAATCTACGATTTGTCTTCATTGGATTCTTCTTATTTCTGCCTTTAAACCACGAAAGCTGTGAAAGCTTTCCAGTGAGATTCTAAAAATTGGGCACACCTCGTCAAATGTTCACTTTAAAACTGATTTTATCCCAACCACCCCCATTCACTCATTCGACGTAATGTTTTTAACATGATTTTTGCCACACACGCTCCAGCATAGCATTTATCTCTGTCAAAACGTCAAAACAACGTTATTAACTTCTAGACGTCGATGAAAATGCCTCTAAAAGTCACGTCCTTGTTAGCTAAAAACAAGATCTGGATGACAGCGTAACAAAGTCTCCGCAATTGAACGTTTTCAATGTTAAAGTCAAGCTTAGCTCAGTACGAAAGACGTGTTGTGGTTTGTTTATTCCAGCGGCCGTGATCTTGTAAGCATGGGTTTTGATCACTGATGTCCTCTCCGCTTACCTGTCTGATATTTTCATCTCAGCGACTTCCTTTAATTGTTCGATACAAAAATATAAATGTGTAGGGACCTACTAGAATCTGAAAGACTTAAGAAATGTCGTAAAGTTTGCCCTCGATCGATCGTTCGTTTGTTCCTTCGCTTTTTTATTTATTTATTATCTTTTTTTTACGGGGTCTCTCTTGAAGAGAAGAGCCTGATATGAGTTCGAAGTTGGCCACGGACAACTAATTGCATTGAGTTCTATGTGTGACGTTGTTTGTCATATATAGATGCCTTTTTCGTTTACACTAACGTCGACAGCGCGAAAAAAATTGCAGCATCACCGCAGGAGGAATCTTAAATTCAGTATAGAGGGATTAACTTAAGATAAAAACCTATGCAGGAGATTCGGTGTCTTAACTGGATCCGCTCGTGTCTTGTAATAATGAAAGTTTGAGCTTAGTATTTCTTAAAAAGGAAAAAATTAGATAAAATGAAATTAATCAAAATAAATTAAAAAAAGGCTTTAAGTCTACAGTGTTTGTGGTAGTCTATAACTTTGGCTTAGAAACATAGCAGGTGAGCAAAAAATATAATTTTATGATATCGCGTATATTTAAAAAGGGCTAGTTTAAGCCGGAATTCTGGTTATAAAGAGCTCTAGAACCATCTGATTGAAACTGATTTGTCGCTCTGCCTGTTAATCCGCATAGAAATAAGAAGCGATATTAATGGCAAATTTAAATTTTTTCTAGCAAGCTTTATATGAACATAGTCCTCGATTAAAAATAAAAAATGAAAAAAACGTTATTTATTAGACAGTTTATAATCTCTTGACTCGATATCCTCCTAACGGAAAGAAGGTAAACGGGGGAACAGTGGACTACAGGACCACTGGACCCGCAGACCAGTGCATTTTCCTCTTATTGAGCTGATATTAATTAAAATTACAAATGATAAAATTACAATGATAACTTATCATGTTGTTATGATAACAATAATGACGATGATAAAATTAATATTGATAAAAAGTACTTCAGAGCTCTCTTGTCTTATTACCCACTATTTTGATGAAACATTTGTGAAGATCTTTGTTCTTTTTTGCCCATAAGTATTCTTAGATGCAACACACAAGGCACAATCACTTTAAATTAAGAACGTACAAACACACGCCTTAAATCACTTTTTGTATTTTCTTCATTTATCGAGAAAAGTCAAAGTTATGAGGAGAGTGTAAATACGTTCGAAAACCATTTAATTATTCTTCTTTTGTAACGAAATATTATTTGTGTTCAAGAGCTTCTAGGTCTATGACTTTCAATGAGCCGAATACGCCATCTATGTTTTTTATCCTTTTAACCTGGTTACGCCTAACAAGCCTGGTTTTCGCTCGAGACAAACCAAACGTCTTGTACAGCGCCGACCGAAACTTTCCGCTTCTCCAAACGTACACACAAGGATTTAAAAAAGAGCTTAAAAACATCGTCGTGAAAGACCAGTAAAATCTTGTGGAGTCTTCGCTTCCTGTAAGTTGGAGCCATAAATCGGGAAGAAAAAGGACCACAGAAACGCAGATTAGAATTGCTAGCGTGCGCGTCGTTAGATAATCTTGAGCGACCTTGGCAACTCTGTAGTTATGAGAAACAGACTCAAACTGCGAGACAATCTGGCGGCGTTTCTTCTCGGCGATACAAAAAATCTTCAAATATATTGTGAGAAACGTGAGCAGCATTGCCAGGTGAAAGTACGGAGCGGTTTCTTGAATGGGAGACTCAGCAAAAACGATTGCCAGGACAGCTGAAACTCCCCATGCTAAGCACACGATCACTGCCACGTTCTTACCACGCATAACCGTCCCATATCGGAAAGAATACAAGACAGCGAATAAACGATTTACCGTAAGTAGTAGCAGATTTGAGAAGGAAAAATGCAAAGGAAAGTACGAGACAAGCTTGAAAGTTGCAAAGTTCTTAGCGCTCCACTCCTGGTTTAAATAATAAACGTACATCGGCTGAGCGATGGTGCACACCGTTAAATCCGCCACACTAAGGTTTAGAATGAAATAGTTCACACCTGTTTGTAATTCCTCGTTTCGGTATAGAACGCAACAGACCAGGATGTTTCCGATCGCTCCTGCGATGGACGCAAATCCATTAATAATTGAGAGAATACAAACTGTCAAAAGTGTTCCCATGTGAAAAGCCTAATCCAATGTTTCTGTTTGAACCCGACTGCGTTATCGGCACAAAGTTGTCTGTTGTTGACTTCGCGACAATTACTGTGAGGTAAGCTAGCGTTTACCTTTTTCCCAATTGGCGCACATGTCAGTGAGAGCGATTTCTTGTTCTATCTCAATTCCTGAGATTATTTTAAAAACGTTTTTCGGTTTTTGCCTGGATTTTATAGCAACTTAATTATCCTAATCTACGTCATTTGCGACGAAGGAAATGTGTCATTTAGTTTCACGTACTCACGCGTAACGCTTCTTTGATGCTTTTCGAATTGCTCTTGCGTATTTCTGAGCACTGTAGCCTGCTATTGACTTTTCCGCAACAGTTATTGTACTGTAACAAATGTTTACTTTTCACACGCTTGGCAAACGTTTAAGCAACAGAAAGTGACCTCAAATACTACGACGTTTTTAATTACGTTGTCGTCTTTTGTCTGGATTTTAAAGCAACTTAATCATAGTAATCTCCGTCACTTTGAGTTAAGAAAATACTTTTTTGATTTCACTTACGAATGAGTAACGCTTTCTCAATCCGTTTCCGTCAAGTGATTAACGGGCGAAATCGAAAAATTAATTATCTCTCGAATAAGTCGTTTGCACTTGTAGAATTAAATTATTACACATAAATCACTTTTTTAATAGCATGTCATTAACACCTTTTCTTGTCTTCAAATGGTAATCTGGCGACAACTCTATTGAGAGGACTTGCAGATTCGCATCCAAAATCGGTTTTACTTCAAGCATGTTTCCGAAACATTGTATCCGAGATGTGGTTAGTGTTGTTAATAGCTTGATTGCACTGTCCGTACTGATTTCCCCAGGAATAGAGTCCTCCGCGATGCACCGGAAAACTCAGGAGAAGAGTATTTACTTTTCTATAACCACTTAACACGATATCAAATTACATTACCGTCAGTCATTGCACGTCCAAGGTTTGACATTCATTTGAAAACAGTTGCTCTGTAGCTCCTATCGAATTCTTGTTGGATATACCTCGATCCTTGAGAATTCGCTGCGCTATAGCTTTACACATGATTTTATTTATGGTAGACTCGCATATCAAGTAAAATCAAGCGTCAATGGAAGACAAAATTGGGTCGAGAATAAAGTATTGACAGCTCAGAATGTGAAAACATAAGAGGTAATTTATACTTCAGTCGTGCAAATGACCACTTGCAATTGGTTCATCTCCGAGGAAGACGGCCAGTTACTTAAACCAATTTTAAGTCGCGAATTTTCATTAATTTTCTCTCATCACTCGAAAAGAAAGCAAAATACATAAATTAATACACATAGCATCCACTGAGAGAGACATTAACATGCAGTTATAGTTGTGAATTTCAAAATGCAAACCTATTGTTATATTACTTAAAGGTGAACTTCTCTCTCTCAAGGGTTTCTGATTGTTCAGTGTCCTTAGAATTACTTATGGCTGCCTTCTGATCCCAATCGAACACTCCATTGTATTCAATTTCAATTTTCGAGGCCAGCTGTTTAAAAAGACCTTTTATAAATTCATAATTTGGTTCGTCCTCAAAGTTTAATCCCCTGCAATAGTTAAGGTAATCTTTAAATTCGTCGGGAAGTTCGTGACAAAGACATTCTACGGAAATGGAAAGTTTCCCCTCTTTTATTAATTTATACCTCTCTTGATCATTGCGTGCTTGAAGGCCTTGCCATGGTAAGGAACCTTTACAGAAGTACAACAGTACATAACCAAGAGATTCTAAATCGTCTCTTCGACTCAGCTCCATGCCTTTATGTGAATTGATGCTTGCGTATCGGGTTGTTCCAGTGATTTCACGATTTTCTATTTGTCGAAAGCGCAAGTGTTTGCCACGTTTGTCTCGGAACCTTTTGGCAAGTCCAAAATCAATCAAGTAAACCTAAAATAAAGAAAGAGATTTAAAAACTGGTGGTAAAGTCAGAGTTTGAATTACCGACAAATACGACACTCAAGTACATCGCATGCGCATAAAGAAGATGACTTCTACTCAAGCATTTCCATCAAGGCAGGAAGTGCTAACGACAAGTCATTATTTGACACACGAGGGCACCATTTCAGGCATATCCTTTTCTTTTCAACATATCGCTCTGAAAGCCCAAGCTATGGTGCTGATGTCTCTCCAATTGTGCAGGAGTTTGTGGTCAACAAAGATCTAAAGACTTCATTTTTCTTATTACAGCGAGTCAAATAGAATTCTAATGCAATCTGAAAAAATCTATTTTTTAAAATCATTATTTCCTTTCATTTTTTATTATCGTTGATTTTTTTTTAATATTCCATTTTATATCGTTTTTAATGTGTCTATTTGATTTATTTTGTTACACGTTCGTTTACATCCTATTGCATTGTAACTATCTTATATTATATTTTCAAGTATACAAGAATTCAGCTCCACGGCTGGCCGTAATCTTTGCTGTGGCACGCTCCCCACTCGTCTCCTCGGATTGTCCCACCTCCTCACATCCCGTCGCCCATTGTGTTCCGTTTGCAATGTAAACACAATAAGCACTCCTGAAAGAACGAATTGTACGCATGTCCCTGGATGATTGCTTACCTTATCCGTTTTGTCTCTTCGACCCATAAGAAAATTCTCCGGCTTGACATCACGGTGCACATAGTCGTTCTCGTGAACAAATTTGATCCTGTCAATCATCTGATCAGCTAGTTGTATCACGGTCTTTAAACTAAACTTCCCTGATACTTTTATGCAACAGCTGATTCAAGTTAGCTCCAAGAAGCTCCATAACTAAAATGTTGTTATTCGACTCTTTACCGTACCATAGTACCTGTGGAAAGCCCTCCTAAAGAAGGTGAAGAAAAATGTGATAAGCCGAGGCTTATATCGCTTGATTTCAAAGCGACCTTTGAAATGTACTTTTTGGCCGAGTTTTGTTAAGAGCCTTTGGTTCTCCATAATCAAGATCCACGCTGCTTTCAAAAAGTTTCATGAGGGAAATATGATCAGTCCTTGAACGCTTACCACACTCCCAGAAATAATTAGTTGGGACACAACATCTATGAAGTTTTAATTGCCAAAGTGTCTTTGCCGCCTTGAAGGCCGACACTGAGGGGCAGTGGAGGCAGTTACTGTCCCACAAATCTGACTGGGAGAGTAGGTCAACCATGAAACTAGACATTCTGACAGGTAATCCCCTCTTCCCGAGTGCAAAAATACGTACCACATGTTGGTTCTCTGAACCCACCCTGCCAGGATAAGGGATAATTAAAATTTCATGGCATTGAAGTCTAGAAACATATTTTACTTCTCAAGTCGTCAACATGCATAAAGAACTGTGGGAAATCTCAGTATCTCCACAAACAATGATCTGTAATTTTGCCCTTTTTTCTAAGTACTTTTCATATTGGACCATGACAAGCAATCCTCTAAGATTTCCTTTGGTAATGAATTTTTAAGTTTATGCCTACCACAATCCCGTCTACGCTTGTAGAATGCAACGCGTTAAGCAAATGCGCTTCTTCTGGTAGCGTCTGAGGCTGGCTAGATTCCTTTGCCTCGATTTTTATCGCCACTTGTTCCCTGCTTTCGACATTCTTTCCTAAAAATATTACTCCAAAAGAACCCTCGCCAATCTTTCCTAGGAGACGATAGTTCTTTGCAATGATAGCTCCTCCCTGAATAGAAGGTTTGGATGGGCCTGCCATTCTTTTCTTAGTTGTTTGACGGCGGCTTGTCTCTGCTCAATAATTTCGTCATAATTGTATCACCAGCACAGCGCGCGCACGTGAATTAGGAAGCATACTCCAACAGAACTCTGGCCAATTTACACATGTTGTGCATTTTGATCGGATGAGTGTACTCATCAAAAGGTCATATTAAGTTCTTTGGGTTTTCTCCGTCTATAATTAAGCTGCGACGTCACAGAAATTATTTCATTATTAGTCAAAAACAATATAAAACAATTTGAGTTCATTATTCCAGTTAATGCCATCCAATGAGAATAAATCGTCAGGCGAGTTCTTGTGACATGTACAAAGTAAATTGTTTCTAACGATCGCAAATCGCACAGGCGAAGAGCAAATTTGTCACCAGTGGCAATAGCCTTTCTTCCAATTTTATGGCGTCTTCTTTCCGACGTAAGGTGTCAACAAGCGAGGAAGCTCTGCCTTTCGGTGAGGAAGCTGAAGAAAACAATTGCTACATCACGAGTCTGAGTAATGAAATCCTTCTATACGTTTCGACATACATGGACGCTAGATCAGTTATACGACTCAGTAAAACTTGTCGACGACTTCGTGATGGTGTCAGATTTAGCGACCCTTTATGGAAGGAACGCCTTCGACGAGACTTCGAACTGGATCTTCGAATAAAACGTCCTTTTAAGTCATTCTACGATATCTACCGGCTGGTTTCAATGTCTCGCACTTTGACTAAGATTTATCTATCTGAGAGATTTTACTCGTCGGGAAAATACGGGTATCTACCTGGGTGGCTATGGACATGGATCACTTTGAATACCAGTGCGCCAGAGCTTCCATCGTGGATCAGGAACCACAGAGAGAAGTTTCTACGGATCAAAGTGAGCGAGTTACCTCTTGGGCGAATCCAGAGGGCTTGGAATTTAGCCGCAGGAGATTTCTCTGGTGTGCGCGAGGTACGAAATGAGAGAGGTACAATCTATTACAGTTGGTCGGACGTTCATAAAGTTTTTTTTGCTAAATACGGTGGGCTTCCTGAATTGACTGCACACTCGCTCAAACGATGCTCACGCGCAAAGAGACATCTCGAGCGAAGCTTTACCGAACTGACAACAGAGGAAGGCCCTAGTCAAAATCAGGCAGCTCAAGCACTTATAACCTTTTCTCTACCAAACAACTTATTCACTACGACGTGTGGATTGTCGCACCTTTTTCGGTCAATCTGAGGAAATTCGTAGATAGCTGTAAGAGCTGTTTGCGTATTTTCGAGATCTTCAAAGCATGATATGGAGGGAGAAACATGTGAGGTAACGTAATTCAAAGACAAGGTTGGCTTCTAGCTCCTGGAATCTGACCTCTGTGTCTATGAATGGAAGCAAAAAGTAAATTAAAGGAACTTTAGAGGAATTTGTTAATTCAATTGTGACATTTTCTCTCTGAACGTCAACTTGATAATGCAATGGGTTTTTAATGAGAGTGTAACGCTTATCAAGAATTGGTCGATAATTTATCTTGTAAGAGGTGTTAAATAGAGCAGACTTTTATGGGGAAAAAATAAAGCAACCAAACAAACAAATGAAAAAAGAGGAAGAGGTTATTCGCCATGTCTTTCATGACACGTAAACTTTTATTGAACAAACGTATCTGAGTAGCAAAAAATGACAGTAAGGTATTGGATATTAAAACGTGTCATAAGAGAATACTGAGTTGCTTTTAGATTATTCTTCGTATATAACTTGTGTTTTAACCGCCCTCCATCTCGATTCCAGGGGTCATAGTATAACCGTGAAGAAAGAAAGCTGCTCAAACGTCGAGGTCTTGGTTTGTGCTCGTCACGCAAAACTCCGTTGCGTGACCAGTATTTAGCGCGACGTGCCCAGACCCCGGCTTCATGCGGGAACCCCTCCGAGAGTAGGAGGACTTTTAAGAGTAAATTTCTTCCTGTTAAAAGAAGAAAAAAAACACCAAATTCTACAAATCCTGGTGGGGAGAACTGAACTTATAGCTTAGGAAAATAGTAGGTTCTTATTCTCCGTACGCGTATAATGTGTAGGGCGAACTTTGGTACCCTTCTCAAAATTGTCTACGGCTGGTAAAGAGAAGAAACTCATTCATGATCAGCGGCGTTTATTATCAAAAAAATTAAAATTTATCATCTTATTGTTTCAATTACTGTAATTTAGGGCTTTTAAGCGTATCTTAATAAGGTTTTACGACTTTTCCAAGCCCTAGCGCAAAAAGATACATAGCAATTGCTTACAAATTTAATTTTTCACGCCACGGGTTGTCTACTACAGTCACACAATGAACCGCAAGGACTTAAGCTGCACAGTGTTCTTCAACATGACAAGTACAAAGTCATGTCCCGGTTTCTACGCATGACGTTCTGTGCATTGATTTTCAATACACTGGATTTTCATGGCGATGTCAACGGTGTATCTTTGCGCCATTTCTGTATTGACTTCATATATGACGAGGTCTTTCTGCAATGATCTTCACTCAGGTAAGCCCTCCATTGCTACACAACCAGCAATGGAAACCAAGTCAATTTGGCCGCCATTGCCTTGGTGGAACAAATATCCAGTCGGGGATCCAAAATTCTGCTTCTTTTTCCACGACGTAAACACTCTCGAGGTTCTTCCTGGCTTCGGTTGGGATAACTTGCTAAATATCGAGATGGGGCAAGTGCTGGCCACAAATTATTCCCGGTGTAAAACAACCGCGGACAGAAAGTATCTTTTACCCGATAACGCTTTCGTAATTCCTGTCAAACGCAGTAAAGTGGACATGTCCTCAGAGGTGTTTGACCGCTGGAATAGCTACACGAGCACGACTGCTCATTCCGTCAATCTCCACGCATCTTACTCAGTTGTAAGCGGTTCCTTTGCTGAGGACTTTAAATACAACAAAGAAAAGCAAGTTGGCGACAAGGCTGTCACAACGAGAGTTCAACTCCGTCATTTCATGTACGTGGTAAAAACGCATCCCGAGTCAAGTCTGCATCCTGTCTTTAAAAGCAGGTTGATGCAAATCGCAGCTGAGTTGCAGAACAATCGCACGAAACAAGCGTGGTACAGCGCGCAGTTACTGGTCAGGGAATACGGTACTCACATCATAACCTCTGTTGATGCTGGTGCAGCGCTCGTTCAAGAAACTCATATCAAAGAAAATGTTCTCAAGGACAAATCGCTTTCTGCACACGATTTAAAAGTAGCCGCAACAGCAACCTTTTTTCGGTCTCTTAAGTTTGGCGCTGGTTTCGGACACAATGTAAGCAACGAGAACGTTCACAAGTTTGAGAAGAGTCGGACCGCTTCACGCGTATTAACCTATGGCGGTCCACCGTACCGATCGAAGTTTAGTGTCCAAAACTGGGAGGACAGTCTAACGAACGAGCTAGTTGCTATTGACAGAAGCGGCGACCCCCTTTACTACGTTATCAACAGCGCCACTCTGCCTAGCTTACCAGAACCAACAGTGTTCCGCTTGGCTAAGATTGTTCAGCGAGCTGCTCGCATATATTACAAAGTAAATACTGTTGCAGGATGTACTGACGAGACGTCGCCCAGATTCAACTTCGATGCGAACGTCAATGACGGCAGTTGTCACGCAACACAAACAAATTTTACATTTGGGGGAGTGTATCAAAAATGTTACGCAAGTCGCTTCAACTCAGCGGGAAACTTATGCGATGAGTTACAGCATAAAAACCCCCTTACGGGCGATTTTTCCTGCCCTGAGGGATACGAAGCCGTGGAACTTTTAAAACCACAGTCAGGCGAAAGGCCGGTAGTAACAAAATCGTATCACCAGACACACTGCCGCAAACTTTGTCGTCCATGCGGGTTTTTTTTGTTACAAGATTGCTGCCATACTTCATGCCAAAACATTTTTCATTACAGCATGGTATATATTGCACCCTATTGGTGTGCTGCTGCGATGACTGTGGGCGAAAACAGTGGGATGTTATTTGGAGGCGTTTACACATCACATGATCCAAACCTTGTGACTGGTGCACAAAGTTGCCCGCATAGGTTCTACGCGTTGCCGTTTGGAAGCCATTCTCACGTTTGCGTGAGTGATGATTATGAACTCGGGTACCAGTTCTCGCTGCGTTTCGGCGGATTTTTCAGTTGTTCGTCTGGAAATCCTCTCGCTGTTCCCAACAAGAACCATCAGCGAAAAAGCGGAAAAACCACGCCCAAGACATCTCCTAAGGGAAACTTAGCAGGTATAGTAAATGGCCCACAAAGTTGCCCACGCGGGTACACCCAGCATCTCCTGTCAGTTGACAATGAATGTGAGATAAACTATTGCGTTAAGGCGAACTCTTTAGCGAAACTCTCTCGCACAGCTGTGAGAAGACCTCCCTACAATGCTCGCCCGGGAGTCAGCCCAAAGGCAACAAAAACGCTAATGGTTGTTGGAATAAATGGTGAAGTTTGGTACAGGAACAATTCGAATGCTGATTGGACTCTTGCCTCGTTTGCCACTCAAGACGACGATGACTCTTCGGAAGAAATGGTATCAGAAGACCAAACCAAGCCCATGTCGCAAGGCGCTGCAATTGCACTTAGCGTGTGCGCAACAGTTTTAGCGGGAATTTTAGCCGTAGCTGTGTACGTCAGTTACAAGCGTCGCGAAAAGACGAAAGAGTACAGGGCCGTTTCTTTGAAGGAAGTGCTCCTGCCTGATGAAAAAACACCGCTGAACAATAACAATACATCTGAGATATCGTAATACACTTAACACGCACATGTAGTATTACTTTTGAACTTTTATTGATTGACAAAGGCGACTAAATTTGAGAATTGAAAAAACATCGCGATGAAATTGTTTTAAATGTGTTTCTTTTTTTCATTTGCTTGTTAATTAATTTAGTACATAAAGCAAACTTAGAATAATTTTGATTAAGAACTGCCTTTGTGACAATTTCAAACAAAAGAGGCTAAAAAATTGAGGGATTTTTTTTTTAATTAATCTAAAAAAGTATTGCTTCCTTTGTACATTGACTATAAATAAACTAAAGACAAAAACAATCAAGGTGTTCATCCATTATAGGGTCTGTGGAGACAATTGCGTTTTATGTACTTCCGTATGAAAGGCAAGAGATGCAATAAGTAACACAGCGCTTAAACAACGGGCATGCGCGACGTGTGTGTCGAGGTATTTTATAACATTTTAAGCTTCTCAAAATTATCACATACTGTGCAGTGACGAAGTACTTAGTGCCACTGCTTGGGAAACTCCCCAGATTTTTCCCTCCTTTTCAAGACTTCGTGAATAATTTTTACGATCTTCAAATACACCATTCTCTTTCAAGAACTCAAAACTCTGTACAATACTCTGTAGGTAACTGTTAGATAATTTCAGTGCATTGTATCCGGCTACCAAAGTTTACAATTGGACTGAAACAAACTTTACCTGTAGCTCTTAAAGTCTCAACACTTAAAAGGAATTGCTGACCACTGGTCAACTGTTGTCATCAAATATTGAAGCATTTGATCATGATAATCTGTTTCCAGTTACTCTTTATCTCCAACAAGATTTTGAGGCCCACTACGGCAAGGCACTTCTTGTTACATCTTAATTGGAGGTGGATGACATTCATCATTCGAGACTAGTCTCTATCAATGAGTGTACCTCTTGGTTTCTTAGACTGATCCTCTTTAATCTGCAATATAAAAACAAACAAACAAAATCAATTAAATGAAAGAGCTTTTGATCTCTAATTCGTTCATCTGTCTTTGCCTTTTTATCTGTCTACTTGTCTGTTTATCGTGAAATTTGTTTGTTTGACCGGCTCTCCCGTTCCCTGCCTTGCTCTAAGGGTCTCTCTCTCTCTCTCTCTCTTAAAAAGGGGACCCCAAGATGAGAAACCTCGTAAACAAAGTTGGCTTCCACTTACCACCCTGGGGAAATTTTTTTGCTTCTCAGCCCCATCCCCTCCCCCCACCCTCCCCTTCTGCCAAATCCCTTCCAACCTTTAGAAGGGACTTGCACAATACCTATTAAAAGGCAAACATGCATTACTGAATACAAAAAAAAGACACATTTGCAGATTGAAATTATAAAATGAAAAGTTATTACATGGAAGGTAAAATTATAACACTCTTACCTGGTCTATAGCTGCCCTTTTCTGTGCGGTTGTTTTTCGCTCAAGTTGCTTTTCAATTATCTGGGCATTGTGAGCATATGATGATGCAACTTCATGCTAAAACGAAAAAAAACACAAAAACAAAAACAAGGCGTAACATCGTGGTCAGCATGTTAAACCACTGAAATACCAAAAAACAATACAGTATATTATTGAACCGTGCCAAAATTTTATCCAGAATCCATCTTACTATCCCAACAGTCTCATCAGAGTTCCAGGGCAATGGGATAATTTTTCATTGATTTCTGCTGACTTCACTAGAAAGATGTCAGAGCTTCTCATAAGATACTCATTTATTGATGACCTTGTATTCCATTGCCAAAAGTAAGTAACCTGTAACCGTACAAGCGGTGCCAAACTCAAATACCAGCTGTTTCACAACTTTGTTGTTTGAAAAGCAAAAGGTTCACATACACCCCCAGATTACCTCTATAGATTATCTGGGAACACTCAAAGCTCACTAACCTGCTCAATTTCTTCTTCTTCCTCATCAATAGTAGACACAGTCACAGAGCTAAATTTACCAAATTCCTTTGTTCTCTTTGTGACCATGACCTTATCAAGATACAGATAAAGCAAAAAAAATTATTGGTAGACAAAATCAGCAAACAAACAAACCCATGGTTGCCACAGTGATTATTAGGTTTTTGAAATTCCCTGACTTTTCCCTGAAATTTTTCCCTAAAACTTAAAATTTTATAATTTCATCAATGAGTCCTGATAGAGGCCTCCAAACTCCACTCTGAGCCAAAGCCATCCTCTCTGCTCATAAATGAATGCCTTAGGCAAGTTGTACACAATGTAGATTGAATTGATAGTCCCTTAAATTAACATGGAGGAAATATTTATTCCAATATGCCTTACATGCATGCATTTTTATGCTTAACTACCCCAGTTCACCCCCTAGCCTTTCTTTCAAGATCTTCAAGGGGCTCTCCAGCTTTAACCCTTTAACTCCCAAAAGTGATTAACTAGAATCTTCTCCCTATAATAACCATATGTTATCCAGCAGACTAGAAATGAGAATACTTAAAATTATCAGGTACATTATCTTGATCTAACACCAAATTCTCTCAGCTTATTTACAAGGAAATGTGTAGCAGCTAGAGGGGAGAATTCACAATCAGATCTTGGGAGTTAAAGGGTAAATAAGCTGATTTAACCTCTAATCAGCAAGAAAACTGTGGATACATGAACATTACCATCAAAATTGCAATATTCTGGAAAAGGGCATACCAGTTTCTTCACTGATACCCTTCCCTTCAACAACTTTGGTTCTGCACAATGCTGGTTCTTTAATTGTTGTGATTGTAAAACATTGAATGAAGGAAGGAGTGTACTGTAACCAAATTCACTTTAATTCAAATTTCATTTCTAAACACCTCCTTTAAAGTGCTTCTTGGATGTGTGCCAACTACTTTTGAAGCCAAATGTTTGTATCACGTAGTACAGATACATGATTCCTTTCATGATATACCTTATTTGCCTTGGGTTTAACAGTTTTGGTAACTTGGTTATCTCCACTTTGAATCAATGCTCCTGAAAAAATTCAAACACACAAAAAAACAAATAAGTGAAAAAAAAAAAAAAAAAGAAAAAAAAACATCACAGGACTTGCTCAATATTTTCTAAACACTACTGTCAGATAAAGATGTTTGCTGGAAAACTATTTGATAACAATCATCCTGTCATGGCATTTCCTGTTTTATAAGTCTCAGTTCTAATTTTCATATGTTATACAAACCAGACTCAGACTACAGGTTTTTCCAATAACAAAAAAACAACCAATATACATGTAGGTATACTGTGCATGTACAATAATATTAAAAAATCAAGTTTATCACTCACTTTAAGTCCATAATCATTTTTTAAAAACTTAAAAATTCAGTCATGTACATGATAAGCTACATCTTTTTAAGAAATTGCATAAAATTCCTCACCATCTACTACAAAAGTAACAGTTTGGTCCTTTTTCAATGATCTGTAAAACAGCCATAGCTTGCACCTGTTGTAAACATTTACAGACGTCAGTAAGGGACAAATAGTAACAGCATGATATAGAAATTATATATGCACAAAGTCTATGTATGCAAAGTATACAGGCTAGACAATTCGAAATTTCAAACTCAATTTCAGTCTAATACTTTTTTCCTCAACACACACTAGCATTGAGCAATCCTCTAAAACATAAATTGATGTTTTTTTTTGTTAAAGAGAATAGATTTAACATGATTGAGAGAATAAAAACAAATAAACAGCCTGATTGAGATTACATTTTATAGTGTAGTTCTCACTCACTTTTTGCATTTTAGACGGAATTGTCTCTCAATACCACCTGGTCTGTAAAAGAAACAAAACAAACAATTCATCACATTCCAGTAAGTAATGAGCTGTAAACAAGTTACAATGTTATTGGTTGTACATGTAAGTAAGGACTGTAAAATTGTATTTCAATGTAAAATAAATCAAATTGTTCAAAGAAATTAAAAAGACAGTCAGAGAACAAGCTGAAGCTGCAATGATAAAACATAATTATGTATACAGTTGTGTTAAATCTTGATTTTTCTACGAGCTTCTGCAACTAATTCTGCCAGCTGTGTTTATTTATAGTGTTGTTTTTGTTGTAGTGCAAGCATTAACCTCTTAACCCCTGAGATGAACATGTAAATGTAGCATGTACTATTTCTCATTATACACTGTAGTATCCCCACAGAATCAAACATTAAGGCAATGAAAATAAAGGAAATGATCGCACTGTAGAAAAAAACCCTTGTGAAAGTTAACAAATTCTTCTTGTCAGTGATGAAGGAAATGTAAAGGAAACAGCCTGGAAAATATACACACCGATGTTAAGGTGTAGAGGACTACATACATGTACCTGGCCTATAATGAAATTTTGATCTCCACAGGTCAACTGTAATTATAACATAGCTGGTAAATTTGTGTAATCAAATTCAATTGCGCGAGTGTGCTTCATATTCCTATTGTGCACACTCATTACGTCAGCAAACAAATCCCTCGAGAAAAAAACTTTCTATCGGGTTGAAAATGTTATAAAACAATTGGTTCATACGTCAGCTGTGCGTTCATCAAGATATGAAGCACTTGAGAAGTTTGGAGAGCACTCAAGAAGCTGGATTTGCTCTCGGCCTCGTCTCAAGCAACTCTTACGCATCTTTCATGCTCTCCAAACTTCCTGCATGCTTCATATCTTGATGAATGCACGCTGACATATGAACCAATTGTTAAATATATACATAAGCATAGTCAAAACCAAAACAACATTTGAGAAGGGAGCAGAGAAGGGAAAATACCTGTTGACCTAGAAGAAGTGCATGGAATGTAATATTTAATTACCAAGCCAACAAGGATTACACCTACATCAGAGACACTGCTGGACATTATTTTAACCAACAAACCCAACCTTTCCAGGACAGGAGGCTCTTTTAACCCAGAGATATTTGATCACCACCTTATTTATGGCATTTTAAAGCAATCTGCATTACAGCATAGACAAAAGACCATCAAATTCAGAAGCCTGAAAATGCTCCCTGGACTGTTGGAGAAACATTTGATGCCATCAAGGACCAATATGACCCATGGAAACCATTTTTGAAAGTGTACTGGAAGAACATGTGCCAAAAATGAAGATGAGAGTTGGACAGAAAGATGCACCATATAAGACAGAAGAATGGAAAATGGAAGGTAAGAACAAAAGCAAATATGTGCAATTGTTTGCCCAAAACTGAACTCTAGAGCGCTAAGAGTTTAAAAGGAAATGGCAAAATTTAGCCCCTAAAGAGAGGAGAAGTGCTATGAAAGCTCACTGGGCCCAAAAGTTAGATAAACTGAGGAAGAGAGCATGGGATTTGTGCAAAACCTTTAAACCATTCTTAAGTAACAAGAAGAAAGAGGACACAAAAATGCTATTAGGATTAACAAGCAAATTGTCACAAACCAGAAAGTAGTGGCAGACAAGCTTGGAGACTACTTTTTAACTGTTGCAAATGCCATTGATGGTGCACAGATAATGAATTTAGTTGAGAAAGATTTTGAAAAACACCAGAGTGTCATGAGCATTTGGCAAGCTTATCATGCCCTTCAATTTGGATTCAACAAAATTGGCTCTAGTGAAGTGGAAACAAACTGAAAATGCTTAAATCAGGGTGTCAAGTGACAAATGACCCTTAGAAAATAGGAAAATAGGAAAATAGGAAAATAGGAATGAAAGGGGCCAAAAAAATAGGAAATAAATAGGAATTCTCATCCCAAAATAGGAAAAATATAGGAGGATTTCTCTGAGTTCTATCCTCTTAACACTCCCAACAGCAACTCTGTTCCACAACCCAATACTTTAATATTTAACAGGCACCATGGCATACATCCACAATGCATTGCCATATAAACAAAAACAAGTGTTATCACCTATGTTACCAAGCACAACTCATCCTACAACAATGACTAGATTCCAAATTTCATTAGATACATAAAAATTCCTAAGAGAGGCTTCAAACTGGTCTTTTTTGACACGAAGTTTCAGTTTTTTACAGAATTTATCAATTTTATTGGCAATTTTATTTCAAATATTTCAAGATGTTTCTATGTACACAGTAAAACCCTGAAAAAATAAGAAAAACTAGGAATTTCATGAAAAAATAGGAGAATATAGGAGGCAGGCCAAAAAATAGGAAAAAATAGGAACTTGACAGCCTGTTAAATGAAACAAAGCCACAGGGTGGGATGGAATCTCTCCAAAAGTTCCACAGTTAACTACCAGAGGTCTGGCACTGTCCTTAACAAGTCTCTAGAACACCATCACTACGAAGGGAAATTGGCCAAACATGTGGAAAATGAGGGAATGGACCCCTGTCTTCAAGAAAGGAGATAAAACCAACTGGGGAAATTACCAACCTATAACAGTACTGAACTCTATTAAAATATTAAAATCCTTAAGTTCCAAGCAAATCATGAAAACCATGGATCCACATCTTAACCAGAAAACATCTGGCCACAGAAAACACACATAGCTGTGAAATAACATTAATAACGCTAACAGAGGAATGAAAAATGGCTGCCAACAATAAAGAGTATGTGACTGTTCTATACACCAATAAGCAAAGCTTTTGATTTTCTGTACCCTGCACTAATGATTCAGACACTCAAAGCATACGGCTCTTCCAAATTAAAGACCTACAGTGAGTTGCTAACAAGAGCAGGTCTACTTAGTTGGTACCAACAACAGTTTCAAAATATCACCATTTTCACATATAAAGTAAGAAAGGACTTATGCCCACTTGTAAAACTGAAATATTCAATACTGCCCTGAAACTATATAATCTAAGGAACACAGGCACACAATGGAAAACATTCTCTATGATACTTTGGGCCCCATCTTTGGAATAAATTAGAACAAAGTGATAGAAAGAATCCTGATTTTATGAGTTTTAAAAACAGTATTAAGAGCAAAGACCTATCACTCTTAGTAAATAATTGTAAAAGCTGTGATATATGCCACTAGGCTGCTTTGAATTTTACATTTATATATATTTGATATCTTATAAGCTTATTTAACTAAGTTCTTATACTTCATTCATTTATTCATTTATCTATCTATTCTATACATTATGAATTGAAGTGTAAATATTTTTAACATTATGTAGCTTAGGTATATTTTAATGGGCAAACAGTGTCCCCAATTAGATTTCTTCAAGCTAAATACTATTGATACTTTAATAAAGTCCTTCATTCATTCATTCATTTGAAAAATATCAGGCTATCTCCCATATTGGACCTCAGTACCTTCAGGATACACTGTACGTAACAGATTCTACTACGGGAATGATCAGAGCAAACCGTCTTATAGGGCAGTTAATAAACACTGGGATGTATTTATAATCCATAACCGTGCAAGGTTAGATGGAAATGTACCTTCTTAAAAAAACAGTGTCGCCATCATCACATGTGAGCTTGTAAGCATGTTTTGAACCGTCTATGACTCTTGCATGGTCTGTTCTTCGCAAAGGAAGCTTTTCAAGGGTACTGTCTAGAGTTAAAATACACACAAATAGGCGACTAAAAAGATTATGAACTGCTCTTGTATGAAATTACAAACTGTTTTTTGAAGGAACAATCGATCATTTCAAACCACCTTCTGAGGTAAAAGGAGCGAAAGTACTTAGAGTTTTAGAATCGTTCGAATTTGAGTCAATGTTTCAAATCTTACCGAGAATCAAAGCCATCTGTCCGCATAGACAGTGATAAACAGTCAAAGTTGTTGCGCCTTGATTGTATTCTTCTTTGTCTTTGGTGTCAGAGCACACTATACTGCGGGACACAACCTTGGGCATTTTTCAGGTAAGGCTAAAATTCTCAAATCAACGAAAAAACAACTTCGCAAGATGGCCGCCGCGCGACGTGGTTACCAAGTTAATGACCAGCAGGTCGCATTGCGGGCGTAAGACTATATCAAAACACACTAGGGAGGGCTCGATCAGTCTGGTTGTCCAGTACTGCACGTTTGGTTAGACCAGGAATGACCAGATAACAGAAGGGTCTAACTTCAAAAGTGAGGGTAAATTTTTCTTCTTTGTTAGGAGTTTTGATCTTTTCCTCCGTTTTATTAATCTTCTCTCTATTTTTTTGTTTCAGTCGTAAGACTGACGCACCTCCGTACCCCCGCTTAGTAGACTTTGTCACTTTCTAAGAAAAGTGAAAAAAAAAAAAAGAAGACATGTGAATCAATACCGAGACTTGCTAGCTCGACCATTCTTAATTGACACAATGGCAGTATCGAGCGATGTCTCAGTTGTAAAAGTATTCAATTTCATCAGTGGAAGTGGCGGAGTTTTAGAACTATCGAATTTACTTAAAAATCCCTCGCCTTTGGCAAAGAAATCTACTGAGACTGAGCTGATTTTATGGTTTCAAACTCAGAAAGATTTGGACCCAAACAACAGATTGGTTTTGGTAAGAAATCAACGTGATGAAGCTGTCGGCGTGCGAATCGACTTGGCCAAACAAATGTGTTTAAAGTACTCCACCGAAGAGTCTTGTAAATCAGGAAGTAGATGTAAATTCTGGCACTTATGTAGGGAGTTCCTTGAGGGAACTTGTAAAGGAAACTGTGGCCGATCACATGATTTTCACGATGAAGACAACAAAGCGAAAACGGTGGAATTGGGTTTTGAAGGAAAAGCGACTGGGCCTTTGAAAACTATTGTCGCCGGAAGCTTTCTGCAGGTTTGTCTTATGTATTCAAAAAATGGTTGCCTCTCTGTAAATTGTCCGTATCTTCATATTTGTGTTAATGCGGTGCGGGCAACAGCCTGTGGATGTAGTCGGTATCACGATTTCACTAGTCCGCACAACAGAAGCTTGCTGAAACAGTATGGGTTCAGGCCTCCCCGAACGTCAGACATGGATGTCGTTCGTTGTAACATTCTGATCCCGAAGCAGCAGAAATCTTTTGAAGGAAGGGCTATCAATGATCCAAGCTTCAGCAGGCAACCCACGCCAAGAGTTAATAAGCCTGATAATATTACACAGAGGCACCCCTCACATCAGGGTAAACCTGGAGCTGTTAGTCTGGCGGGTTTATGCCAAAACTTCTCTAAACCTGAACCAAAAGCACCTGCTCGAGCCAAACCAGAAATGCATCATGACACTGCACCTCCTGATGCTGATCCTCTGTTTATGAAAGTTTTTAATTTCATATGTAGTAAAGGAGGGTACTCTTCATTGCGGGACCTATTGCAACCACCCTCGCCATTGGTAGGGAAGTTTTCAAAGTCTGAGGTTGATGCAAAGATTTGGCTTCAAGTAAACACTCACCCAGAACAGGGACAGAAAATCATTTTGCTAGAGAACCAAAATGGTGATATTCTCGGTGTTCGAGTAAATTCAAGGAAAAAATTATGTTTGCAGTATATGAAAGGTTATTGTAAATCTCTCAACACTTGTCAGTATTGGCACATCTGCAAAGGTTACCTTGAGGATACTTGTCAGGGAGGCTGTGGTCTCTCACATGACTTCCATGATGAGGGTAACATAAAGAAGATACAGAGATTGGGGATTGAGCGTTACCCAAATGGAACTTTAAAGAACATAATTTCACACAGTTTTCCCCGAATTTGTCTCCCATATGTGAATAGTAGATGCAACTACAGTAATGACTGCCGACATTTACATTTATGCCCCCTTGCTTTTGGAGGAAACTCATGCAGTTGTAACTTGACACACGCTTTAAATGATGACCGTAATTCCTCAATTCTAAAGCAATATGATTTAGATCCTCAGAGAACCAAAATAATCATAATGCAGAGCAACATCTTGTTCCCAAAAAGGCAAAAAGGTCCCACAGAAGCCAAGCTTTCCTCAGCATGTTCTTCTTTAACATCACAGCCAGCGTCTTTGATGTCCTTGCCTGTAGCCCTAAAAGATGATAACAATCTGGATTCACAAGTGAAAAGGTGTCCAGATGAGAGACTAAAGAAGAGGAGAAGACAACGACGAAGACAGAAGAAAAAGGCAAATCAAGCAGGTGAACCATGTGAAGAATCACTTGAAGATGACGTTGAAGAGGAAGGTTCAGATTCAACCTCAGATAATGAAGATTTGCCAGACAAACCTGATCTTTACTCAGTTTCAAAATTTTCCAATCAGCCTAGTCCAAGCACAAAGCATGTAGACACATCAGGGAATACATCTGTTCAAGGTCTGAGGAAGCAAACACAATCCAACAGTGGGATGACTTACCAGAACCAGGTTTCTGGAATGGGCATAAGTGAAGTTGCTGAAGGAAACTTGATCAATTTTTCTGATGAGTTAGAAGATGGATTTCAGGATCTTGAAGATACATTTGGTTCACAGGATGACTTCTCAACTTTTGAGCCACTTTCTCAAGTGGATGATTTGCTCTTCAACCTGTCCCCAACAAATGTTGCAGGAGCACTGTCTCAGGACAGTACCTCTTTTGACCCATCTGAACAGCACAGTGCAGAAAGCCAATTGGAAAAAGAAGCTGTAAACTCTGTTTTTCAATACATTTGTAAAGAACACAATGGTGAAGTGCCTTTTGCTGTAATATCCCAATGCCACGACCTGTTTCCTCTAGATGCTATTGATATTGCTGCATGGTTCAGGGAAAACTCAAGCAGGTTTATGATCATTGAGAACAGTGAAGGGGGAATTGAATCAGTAAGAGCATGCACCCCTAAAGCACGCATCTGTTTTCGCTACTTGATGGGCAAAAATGGCTGTAAGGATCCAAAGTGTTTCCGTTACCATGTCTGCAAGCATTATCTTGCTAATGGTGCCTGTCCGTTAGGGAAGAAATGTAGATACAGCCATAGCCATAATCTGAAGAGCCCTCACAACAAAAACATCACTAAAAGGCGGAAGCTCGGCTGTTTCTCAGATGAGGAGCTACGTGTCCTGATTTCTGCCTCTGTTCCTGAAGTTTGTCTTGATTACAACAAGAAGTCTGCTAGATGCAGGAGAGGTCTACGTTGCTATGCAATTCATGTCTGCAAGCATTATGTAATGGGCAATTGCAAAAATGGAGCCAACTGCCCTCTTAACCATGAGGCAAGTCTCAAAGAACCCCATACCCGGTTAGTTCTAGAGAAGTACAATTTGACCACAGTTCCAGTGCAAGCTGTCTTTAGAGCCATTCTGGTGCGTGGACAGAGGAAACCATTGACCATGGAAACGGAAGAGGAACAAGAAGCTGGTAAGAAGTGTAATCAGTATTGTACCTTTGGTATTGGGCTGCACTGGAAATTGCTTGAAGTACCATTACCCAAGTTAGTTTTTATGGTTACATACACTATCTCATGATCTGTACACATCTGACCAAGAAATTTTGTCATTTATGTTTTGAACCTGGTCATGGTCATTTCTAACTCAATTTGTAAGCATGGGGTTGTTTATGGCTCTTTTTTTATTGAGCTTGTTCACTTGCATGTATCTATTTTACAGATGCAAATCATTGTGTCAAAGAAATGAGATGATACTGTACTATGATGTTAGACGAATGTCAGAGACATCAAATCTTATGAAATAGCCATACATCTACCAAAGAAATTGATGAGATTTCATCATCTAACACCCAAAATCATCCTTGACCATGTATTTGTTCATGGCAGGATTCTAATGACTCTGATTCCAGCAGTTTGGGAATGTTTGGCATTCTTGATTTTATTTTATATATTTAATAATTAACCCTGTTCATACACAGGCCTCTAAGAACATAAATGAAAATTCAGTTCTAAATTTATTACTGAACAATCTCTTTGTTAATTCTGTAGCTGCACAACCTCAAAAGAAACAAGTGATGAATCCAAAGACAGAGGTGCAAAACTTCCATAGCCCCCAGTACATCTGCCTGGAATTCCTATTGGGTCATTGTGGCAAGGCTCAATTGTGTGAGTACTTTCATCACAACATGCCATACATGTGGCAGTATAGATACCTTGACAATGAGCAAGCAGATGGATGGGAGGTATTCACCGAAAATGAGAGTGAAGACATTGAGAGACAGTTCTGCACTGTTGATGTTACAGAGACAGAAATTGGACACATTCAAGTTGCACCTCCTCCAAATGCACTGTAAGTACAACTTGTTTCACCAATAGGAAATTACAGCTTTAATCACTTTTCTTGTCTAGTGAACCTGAAGAATATTTTTATTTGTTAAATAAAGAGAGGTAGCCAGCCCTTATCCCTGGAATACCCACCCTCTCTTCATAACTTATGACTGATTTCCCAGAATACACCATTTCCCAGATCTTTATATTATAAGTTAACACTGATCTAAATATGATTGATAATCATAATGTTTGGTTTCACTTCTGTGTGATAGTTAACTTTCCCTTTTGTTGCTGCAGTATTGATCCTGGAGAAGGTTACATCAAGATCAACTTTGATGAAATGAAAGCTGTGACAGGATTTGGATCTGTGGAGCTGAGACGTCTGTCCACTAAGTCAGTGAGCTCGCTTACAGATCATTCTCTATTGACTACATGGGTTTGGTACCTGTCAGATCAGGACAGCAGTTGGACTGAGTATGATTCTGAGCTTATGGTATGTCTGTAAGATAATTGCTGATCATTCCTAATCTTTTGGGTAAAAACAGAGGAAAAAAATTAATATCAAGAACACAGACTATCATTGGCTTGGTAACAGAAAAGGGGTCCTCTCTTCTCATCTGAGAGTTGCTTGACAATTCACTGCATTCTTTTAGGCCAATGAGCAAATCAAATTTTATCTTAGGTCTGAAAAGTAAAAAAAACATTTTTGGAGAATTTGGTGAGTGATTTATGAAGCTCTGCAAGTAAGATGATATAAATATCCACATCTGGAGACAGTTTTGGTTCTGAAACTGCCCTAAAGTAACCGCAGCCTATATATATATATATATGTATGTATGTAATTTATGTATGTATATATCTATATGTATATGTATATATTTGTATATATGCATAAATTTATTTTTTTTGCTTTTGTCTTCCATTTAAGGGACAAATTTACTGTGAGCATAGCTTTTCTTTGATATTGTTGTTTATTTAATATTTTTATTTATCAACGAGCTTCGAGCATTTTCCATATTCAGGAAATGTCCCCTTCTTTTCCATGCAATGGCAGGTTTTATTATAATTTATTGATTCTTAAATACCGAAGTTTTATGTTTGTCGTTATTTCGGGAAAAAAGGGGAGTTCATTTCCTCATTTAGGCGGTGGTATCTTCTGAAGGCTTATTTGTTTTCTATTTTCTTTTTTTCGTGCCATAATGTCTCCAAACAGAAGCGAATAGAAGAGTCGTTCACCAAAGGAAGATCATTCCATAAATTTAAAAGAGGAGGAGAGGACCACAAGTTGTTTTTTCACAAAACGTCCATGTACCAGCAGAACTCGAAACCACCCATTAAAGTTACAAAAGTGAGAAGAAGGCCTTTGTTTAGGTCTAAGTCGGAAAAAGAGAGGCTGCAGAGGTAAAAACTAACACTGTGAATGCTTACCTCTAAAGATATGTTGGATCCAGTCACCTTGATTTCTACAAGGTTATTTTGTGGCATGATGACCCTATCGTCCATCTCAGGGGGTCATTTAAAACGTAAAATGCGCTCGTAGCAACAACGAAGGCAACTTATGCGCAAGGCTTATTTTACAATACAGAAAGTCATGAGGTAGAAACACGTGGGAAATACGTGTTGACGAGGAATATATTTTTGTTTTGCATGTGATTGGTCAAATTGGTGGCGTGATTGTTATTTTGACCAATCACAGTAAGCGCACTTGGGTAGGCCGAACACTTCGGGTGGTGTTCTGTTTGTTTATTTCTTTTGTTTTCTTGTATGTGTAAATGTAAATTAGTGTTTTCGTTTCTCCAGTGAGATTTTTACTTTGCTGTTTGAGTTTTTGTTTACTAGTATCTAGACTGTATACATCGTAGTCAGACGAATATTGTATGGGTATATGTTATAAGCTAGCTTTTGTTGTATCTGCTTTGAGACTCTGTACAAACACGAGTTTATTTTATGTCATTATCATTATCACTTTTCTAAAGAAGGCCAGGAACTGAAAAAATCAAACGAACAGTATGAGCTTTAATTCGCGAGGAAAAGCACTATAAGGTTAAGCGAACTTCGTGTTTTTTTTTATATTCTTCAGTCCCCTTGAACTACCAATCCCATTGCAACCCGCAACACCAGGGCAGTCTACCTCAACTTCATCACATGGTCACACTCCTCCTCACTGGGAACGTGTTCCTGAAGACCGAGAGTTCATGCGTGTTCCTCTGACTAGCAACTCAGATGAATTCAAACTTGCCGAAAGCCTGTTTCGCCAAACCATGTCCGAAAACAAGGCAACTATCATCTCCGTTGAGCGAGTTCAAAATCCGTTTTTGTGGAAGAAGTATGCAGAGTATGTATTGAACGTGTTATTTCTTCTTTTGGCCGTTAATCCTCTTCGAGGTTTTTTCTAGGTATTACAGTCATACGCACCAGTGTAACTCTTGCTCTTGATGAATCCTAACAGACTTTGAAGTCACTGAGGTTGCATTTGACACATACATTTGTAGTGAACTAGGAAAGTAGGAAATGTCTAGCCCGCAGCCAGAGATGAATTGGGTTAAGCAGTTGACTACTTTACGCATAAAGTCATACATCTCGTGAATACTGCTGCCTGCGTCTTTTAATCAGTTCTGGCCTCTTGGCTTATTGTTTAAGAAAATTACCTTAAGGTAAACGAAACAAGAACTGAACTCTGGTTAAAATAAAAACTTCAACAACGCAATTATAACGGCAATAAGAAAAAAATTATTGCTAAAACTTGCAATTCACTCACTTCAAATCAAAACAGAATTTAGGTTGAAATTTCATTCCCAATAATGAAGCTGAAATTTTGTGCTGTTCCTCTTAGTAAGAAAGAATGGATGGAGAAGAAGGCCTTGGTCAAAGACAATCCTATGAATGAAAAACTTCTCTTCCACGGAGTTGATCCCCAAGTTGTAGACACGATATGTGAGGAGAACATCGACTGTCGTGCTCTAGAAGAGGACCGAGCTGCCCAGTTCGGTAAAGGAGCCTACTTCACAGAGGAGGCGGCCTTGAGTAATCTCTACTGCAGGCAAGACTCCGAGTCCTTCCGGTACATGTTTTTGTGCGAGGTTCTTGTGGGGTCATATGCCAAAGGTGAGCCAACCTTACCACGACCACCGTTAAGGAGTGACTCCGAAGCCAAGAAACAGCGTTATGACTCTTGTGTGGATAACGTCACCAAGCCCACCATTTTTGTGCTGTTTGCCTCGGATCAGTATTACCCGACTTTCTTGATAAAGTTCAAGACCAAATCTAAGGTGGTCTGTTGATCATTGAGGTACATATACTGTTTACAGACCTCATAACATACTCACGTTTAGATTATAAATTTTCATTCTAAGGCTTGAGAAGCTTTGAATGCTTAAACGAAGTGAGCGCATTTCTTTGGTAAGCGTTTAAAATGAAAGTAAAAAAACGTATACATGTATCTTCCTTTCCCGTTTCGGTGAGCTCGAAAGCAGCGAATATGATTTTTCGATTGAAAATAATCAATCTACATACAGAAACATTCGAAATAAGGAAGAAAGAAGCCAAGGTGGTATTAAACTGACTTGAAATTGGTTCGATATTTCATTTTATGTCATGACCATTGAAAGCAGCGCTCTTTGGGTTTTATGACAAGAGTATGAGGTGATCTGAAAGGATTTGTTATCTGAAATACAGTTCTTAAGCCCTTGCAGAATTCTCTTTTCATTGAAGACTCATTATTGCTACAAGAGATGCACAGGAATCTTTTCCCCCTGAAATTCTATCCTCCTGAATAACCAGTCTCATACTCATGTGGCATAAATTAGCTTTTAATTTCCTGTAGCAGTAAAATGAACGGTAATATTTCCTTTGGGACGTGTTCCTTATGGGATGTCAAACCGCATCCCTAGTTAACACCACAAAAGGGACAACTATGTTTATGGGATATTTCAGTGTCTGTTGAATGAAGGTCCCATTGCATTTTTTCTTGTGTGGTAGTAATATAAAATGTAACTAAGAGAGGTATTATGTGGTCTGAGGCCACTGATAAGTTAATATATCTCTTCGGTCGATGAAACTATTCACCATAAAACGTCCTCCGTATGTGCGTATAGCAGATACTGACGTCATTCTGACGTTAAACTCAACTATCAGGATCATCTTCGATTGACAATTTAATCGCTTTTCGTCATAGAAGCAGGTCTCAAAAAAAAAAAAAAAAAAAAAAAAAAAAAAAAAAAAAAAAAAAAAGAATAAACGGTTTTGTTAAAAATATCGCTGGTTCCAACACAAGAAACGCGATAATTTTATGCTGCAGTTTATTTCACGTGTACGTTGGTCGGTCGACTGAGCCACTTTTTGCGAGTTTGCGATTTGCGAGTACTCACGTACTTCCCGACTTCACAACGGAAACTGCATACCCCTTGCTATTACGACTCACGAAGGCTCTGAAATTATGTGGCCTACCTGAAATTATGTGGCCTACTGTAACGTGCAACTGTCACAAAGTACTGAGATGTGTTTTGATAGTTGTTGTCTCTTGTTACGAAGGTACTTCAGGTACCAATGCAAGTTTCGGACTTGAGCACTTTTGTTTTGCTCCAAAGGGTTTTTTACTCTTATAAGCTGGTCTATAAAAGGCTTATTTCACAATAGTAAGTCATCTTAAAGCCATGTACGGCTTACTTGTGAAGAGGGCAAAACTTTTTCTTCCGTTTTTTGTGACCAAGTGGAAGTTTACCCATGAAACTCCGTAAAATTGTAGCCCACGATCTCATGGTTCACCCAAAATGAATCTTGCGCCTGTCAACAATTTTTTTTTGAATAACGTTAGTGTTCATGATAAGGTGATTTGATCTCCCTGGTTAAATCAGCTAACTCTGCTACATTTTGAACAGCAATTTATGGTAGTCTTGAAATACCATTTTAAATGCGCTATTTCAAGTTGACCCGTAATGCTGCGTGAGATTTTTCAAGCATTCCAATCATGTAAACATACCTAAGGGAGAAAATGACGTGACATAGAAATTTCCCAAAAGAATTAAGTAGAAAAGAACTGGACAATTAGATTCATGTTTATGCCATAAATGACGAAAAATTGTGTCATAAAACTGAATGTATTACATCAATTCTTTAGTTTCGAGGGAAGTGTAGTCTTTGGTTGCTTGCTTTGGTGCGGAATGTTTATGCTCGGTAGACCATAAAGTGTAGTTGGGTGTTGTCTCATGCAAACCATGCTTAGAAATAGGTCCGTCTCCCCCAAAAATGGCTCAGCACAGTCATTGTGACCCTGAGAAGTTGTGTAGAAATACTCTGGAGATGACAGTAACATTCGGGTTGTCTTACTTTACTAAAACTTAGTTTTAGTGAATTAGTTCAGTTCCAAGTCGATTGTTTCTCCAATTCGGAAGAAACTGCCTTTTTTTCTCTGAATTTAAAATAATATATGGCGCAGTCCTTAACCGTTTTACTCCCAAGATCTCATCAGTAATTCTCCTTACTGTCTGTCATACAATTTCTATGATGTTAGTTCGGAGAATTTGGTATTAGATCAACTAATAGTGCTCGTTGATATTCTTCTTTTTCTCATCACTTATCTTCTTGTTGATGTATTGATAATGTAAGGAGAACCTCTGTCATGGTCACGCATGAGACTGACGGGTTATATGTCGTTAGCTTAAGTAAGCGTTTTGTAGCTAAATATAGAGCTATACAAGTTTAATAAACAATTGAACGCATTAGTGTCGAAGAATGCACCGTAAATCAGCAAAACTATAGCAGAACTTGCTCTTGGTGTAGCTCATAACTTAATCATAATTTATTTAAGAGTTTTAGTGAAATGCCATTATGTTATTTAGTATCATTAGATGAATTGTAATACATTTCGGTGTCTCTTCGCCGCGCGCCTCGCCGAAATTAGATTCAGTGAACGCATCGAGGTGTAACGCGATGTCTCTACGGCTTCCGGTGGGCAAAGCGTTAGCGCGCACCGTTGTCAAATCTTGGCGTTTTTTTGGTCACGGAAAGATGTGCGACGCTTGCTTGTTGGCGTGCGGTGTAAGGCGTTAGTTGATTTGCGCTTCTTTATCCATTGCTTAAATCACTACTTTTTTCCTTTACTTTTACTCCTAAGCGCCAATGTTATATGTATATGTACTCTTTATCGTTAACTTATCAATATACATTTTTTTTCACATTGATTGCTAATGTTTTCGCAGTCTAGTACCTTTGATTCGGTAAGGTGAATTGCTAAATCAGTGAAGGAAACAATGTCTTGTTCAGCTCATCCTTTGGTGACCTTAATTTCCTGGCTATACCACCTAGTGTATTTTACCCTTGAGAAATCGTACTGTTTCTTGTGGAAGAGATCTTGTTCGCGTCAACGGCTGCGATGAACTGAACACGACAATTGTATCCAGAAAAACATCATGTTAGTTGGAAGTTATAGAACTTGTAAACTGTAAGTTAAAATTATGGCATTGAACGGTTGTTGAACTTAGAAAGTTTTTGATGTCTTTTTTCTTCGTACTCGGTGGTCGCAGATATAAAAGAAACGATAAAAGACTGCGTTTTGTGTTATTACATAGATTTGACGGCCTTGAAAAGAGACGCAAGCGTTGTTTTCCTCTTTTCCAAAATTTACGCACGCTGTACCCCTACTCTGACAGTGTTCTTTTGTTACTAGATAATCCATGAGCAAAAGTTAGCGCTCCAGCGATGTGTAAGTTTTTTTCTGATCGTACAGTTTTCTAAGCAGTTAGGAAAGGGAAATAATGCTTAAAAAGCAAAACGTTTACATGTCAAAACCTATGTAATCGGTGTCCAAGTGAAATCACGTTTAAAAAAAGCAATACAATCATTCAGCTGTTGTATCAAATGATTGTAATCATACAGATATGATGATGGCTGTTGTAATTTTCATCTTTCCCGGGGAAAATGTTCTTGGACAGGAACAGCTTGGGAACATGCGCCTTTAAGACTTGTAAGTGGTTGGTGAAAGTTGAACGGCTTGAAGAGCTAAACGCACGATCTGCACAAATGGGTATATTTATGGCAGTCATAGTCCTCGCTTAATAACTAGACTGTATGAATGCATCATCGTCATTACGGGTTATTGACAGCCAAGATGAGCTCCAGGTTCTTCCTTGTGTAGTTAGTTCATCAGAATAATCGCTTTCCCCGTTAAACTTGGTTGAACACCCTGACTTGTCACGAGTAACAGAGTCTCTCCTTGACTGCAACTCAGCTGCAATGATATGGGGGATATCTGCCTGAAGGAGCGTTGGTGGTAATTCTCTCGTTTTGAACAGCTGACCATGAAACAGAGAGTTTTGATAACAGGGAGCCTTCCGTGATAATTTTTTATGAGACAACCGAACTTGTATCACAGGGTCTTTGGTTGGAGAATGGTCGGTGGATTTTTGTGAAGACTTTGGAAGATTATTGTGATCGCTGGGTGGAGTGTTTGGTTTATCGGTGTACTTGATTGGGTTCGGACACATCCTGGTATTGACATTTTCATCTGATGTCGAATCCATCGGAAATTCAACCTTGTCTTCAGATGGAATGTATAGAAAATTGAGGGAACTATTATTCAGCATTGAACGGGAATGTTTGGCCAGGTTGTTAACAAGTGGAACGGATGATTTTACCAAGTGCATCTTTAGTGTTACTTCGTTGAGCGCCAGTCAAAGAGTCACTTGGCGAACTCTTTGCAGTCGCGTTACCTGAGCAACGTGCGCCCGCTACACTTGGAGGTGATGCCGTGACGATTAAAATGTGGGCATGATTACCGCTTCCCTTTTTAATGGCAGCAACACTTGAGTATTTGTACTCCTTGATACGCTTCTGTTATTTTGGGACTAAAATACTGCAGCGGACAAAATCGATACTCATCCCCTTGTGCGGTTTCAAATCGTACTGTCTGAGGACTAGTACATTATGAAAATCGGTCACATCATGTGACGTGGCGTATTTACAAGGCGACTCTCGAATTGCCTTGGGGTAGATGTGAAGATATGGGCACTTATTTGATTTACAATCTGTTCTTAAATACAACAAGTAAACCTGAGGAAGACTCTAGGCTACCACGCTTTTTATCGCGTCATTTGTCCTCTTTTCGAGGTTGAACTTTTCTGTGTTTTTCTTGCTAACCTTGTACAAATAATTGAATGAGCATTTACAGTCTCCGTCACAATTTCCGTCAATAAAACTTTTGCAAAGATGCCAAAACTTACACCTTTCTTACCCTCTTGCACATGACCCTTTGATTACATACTCCTAGCACATTTTCTTTCTTAGATCAACATGCGCACCAGCAGTTTCACCATTGCGATCTTTCACAACAGCAAGACCACTTGCCTCTTCAACCATCTTATCACTCCTCCCTCTGTTCCTTTAAATGCCAATGGTGACGGATGCTCTAAAAAATTTAATCCAATTCGGCGAAACCGCCAGAATCGTAGACAAAGTTAAACACTTTGTGGACCACATTATCGTACTCCATGTCGCTGGTGGCTGACCACTGAAACATGAAGTTCAAATCGAAAAGTAATGATCATTATGTGGCTTTTCCTTTGTCATGAGCAGTCTTCGCCTCGGGAAATGATAATATTGCTTTTTGTCAAGAATGTTCTTGCTTGCAAAACATTCGCACGTACCCTCTTCGCAAGCTATTCCGTCTATTACGTCTATAATCCCTTAATTCTGGCTTTTTAAATGATCATCTGATTTCCCACACTGCTTTCGAAATTTTTCATTCGAAAATGTTGATCTTTTTGCTAGTTTTAAACAATGGTTTCCCTTTTGCGCTGATTGCGTTGCTGATGTAAGGTCGCGTTCGAGAATCCTCTGAATTAAAAAAACAGAATTAAAAATGTCGTCACAGTAAATTTAGCCGACTTTGAATGTAAACAAGCACTCGATGAAATTTTTTAATCCATACCAAATTTTCCATCTCTTTTAATCTTATTATTTCTGCTAACAAGTTATGGAGCGAGGCTCCAAACGTGAGGTCTCTCCCGAAGGTAAATTATGGAAAATATAAAAAAGAGGAATGGGTGTCAAAGTGATTTGCCCGACGAATTAATTGACATGCGGCGCATAAAGTGGCGGCTTTTTCCTCACGACAGGAGTTTATGCGATCAGGAAAGCGTTCAATCTTCTTTTTCTCCTTTCATAATCGTGAAATTGACGACAACCGGCTAAATTCGCGTTTCTGATGACTAATTGTTATTTTGCACCGGGAAATGGTCAATGATCAGTTACTTTTCACAAGGAAAATTTTCGCTTCAGCACCTTGCAATATATTTTTAAGTTGCTAGCTGCTACCCCTAAAGGCTACCTAAGGCCGGCACACGAACTCCCCATTGAAGAACAACAAGAGGACATATATGTATTAACACACTGCATGCCGGTTCTTTCTCAGGGAAAGTATGCGTCAGCACAGCGGGATATCAACTCGCCTGAATGGAGACTTTGCAAATTTAAAAAACTGATAAAAGACTACATGGTAACACAGAAAGTTGTCATCTAGTGAAGCTTTCTTCGGCAAATACTTAAAAGCGCACGGATTATTGAGGATGATATCTGTCCTGATATATAGTGATTACTCTTGATAAATTATTATGCAAATTTTAGCAGATTGATATGTTTAAGAGACAGAAATAAATTTATATGGGCATAACTTAGTTATGGCGCTAATAGCATTCCTTACAAGGCATCATATCTATTGGAAGTTTCTTATAAAACAACACTTCCACCAGAATTTGCAAGCCGCAAAGTATTGTCACTAGTGCAACTAAAATTGCCATGGAATGGTCTAGATACCACAAGTCTGTATGAACAAGTAAAAAGGCGCAGTTACTAATAAGAAGGCCAAACATTAGTGCAGCCGATAACACGGAGTCTATACAGCTCCCGAGCATCGCTGAACTTAGAAGTTTCTTAGAAACGTAACACTGCATCACGGCTAGCAAAGTGTACAGAAAGCAACCAACGCTTAGAACAGCCACGATGCAAAACGTTTTGGTGGGATGATCTTTCTCGACAATTCTTTTGATTGATAATCCCGCAGTCAAAGTTCCGCTGACAATAAAAGAAGTCGCAAACACAAGACAGGATATTCTCTCTCTTTTATACCCCAAACTGCCGTTCTTTGCTGTCTTGAATCTCCACAGAACAACGAAGGAGCATAAGAAAGCATTAGCACAATCAAATGCGAGCGCGAGAGCAGAAGAGCTGTCGTACGCCCCGGCGGCTCGAAACGAAGCAATTGTTATACTAAAAGATACAACAATGCAGAATACCGTCACCCATATTGCAGCCCTTCTCCATCGCTGTTTCATATGTTCTGGCATTTTCTTTGTGTGATTTATCATTAAATCTTCGTCCATGAACGATATACAAGGTGTGCTTCCTTTCTTATCCAATTCATCAGTGATGGGAGGGAATCCTACGATCTTTCCCGAAGAATTGCCATTCGAAGAGAAATTCAAATTGATGTCTAAAAATGTTTCAGAAGATTCCTCTTCGCTTTCGGAGCTGTGATTTCCTCCATTTCGTCGCCAAGGGGAAATTTTCGACATTTATGATAAGTGTGTTCCCCAGAATTACAAAAGAAATCGTGCAATGAGTAGTTCCTCAAATTGTAATTTTCACGACCGTTCTTATTTTGTGCTCTCAGGTGTTAAATAAATATTCCAATTGCAAGTTCATTTAGTATACAAGAATTTCAGGCCTGAATGGTTTCTTTTCAAAAGCAAGAAAAGAAGGTGGGTTTTCCATCAGGAAACAGAAAGGACATGCCACGATTGGTTTGAGGAAAATAGAATTGAAGTGGCCAATCTAGTTTTATTCACTTTTACATTACCTCACTAATAAAATCGCTTCTGAATTAACTCCTGAACCAGTTGCGTTACTGTTGACTGGGAAACTTAACTCGTTTACCTGAAAGTCTGGTAAATTCACTACTTTCTTTAAAGGTTAAGCACCCACTGTAGGTGAAAACATATTTATTTCACTGACCTATTCCAGTTTTATCTACTTTTGAAGCTGTTTTGGAGGACTGTCTTTCTTTGCAGTTACGCGAAGCAACTGAGGAACGCAATTTCAATTGTTTCTGAAACGAAAACAGGAACAGAAATATCTCAAAACCGCACCAAGAATGTGGGTGGACTACATCTGAAGAGAGGCGATCGATGACCCCAGGGAAAAGATAGGCGAAGATGAAAACGTAAAGGAAAACTATCTTAGCAAAAAATAGAAACCGACGGAAACAGAACGGAAAGTTCGAGAATCTCAATGAATCAGGGACCGAGACATCGAAAATTATTCAAATGAATGCAAACCGGCGGAAAATCAGAGAATCCCAAGTGCCCCTTTAGAACACATTGGACTTAACTGTACAATGAAAGTGTCATGCAATCCTCTCAGATACAATTGATAACAAACCTTTTTGAATGTGAGAGATTATTCAGCGTTAATTGATTTCCGGTTGATTTTTAGCGATAAGTGACAGATGATTGAACAATAGGATCATATTATATATTTAAAATGAGAGAGACCAGAGCGTGGGACAGAGAACGGTGAGAGAGAGAGAGGGAGGTTAAGTTGATTTTATAAAATAAAACGTGAAGTTTCGGAACATAGCAGATTCTTTAGTCTCATTTCCGACATGTATGCATGCGTGTGCGTGTGAACATAGCCCTCTCTCTTTTGTACATACATGCAAATTAACTCCCTAGCCTAGCTTTAACGTGGAAATTATTTTGTTTTCAAACTTGCTGTCAAGACCAGAAACGTAAATTTACATAAATTAAAGTTGGCCGCCATTTATGAATGAGGTCTAAATTGCGCACTTATGTCGCCGCAAAATGAGCAAATAAATAGGGTAATATGTTAAGTCTGGACGGAATATTACGTTTTCAGTGTTTTCAGAAGTTTGAATATCTTCCCTATAGGGCAACTCCAAACTCAACCAGGTAGCTAAGCAGTTTAAGATGCGTAATAATTTCAAAGATCGATGAATGAATGAACAAAAGAAGAAGCATTGTGTAATCCTTGAATTATTTATTTGAGCTCAATAATTTTACATCAGTCCACACTTATTTCAATTGCAAGAATAACTTAATTTAACTCCCATTTTTAAGCCTTTTAACTGTGCATATAACGAATCAAAGGTATTTCATAATACATCTCAGTAAACTGCCCGCTCATGGCAAACAAATTTAACATAATTCTGAAAAAAATTGAATTCGGCATTACACTTCACAACTTTTGGGTTGAATACTCTTCGGACAGTATTTAAAAAATCAGAGTAAGTGTGTTAAACGGACTAGCTTAACACTGGATGTGTTTTCTTACACCCGTTTGCACTATAGAAGGAAACACTCAAGCAGATACGACTTTTCTATTTCGGCAAGGCGAAGGTAATTTGAATCGTATATCAAATACAATTCTATCTGACCACGACGACGTATGTAGGTTGTTTTGAAAATATCGTGGGGCTAAGAACCGCGTTAATACGTTGTGTGGTTTCCTTAACAGAGAAAAGTAACGCTTTAGTTTTTTCATAGAGGTTACCAAACCATTCTTTGAGTTGATGTTATTATTTTTTGTTTGTTTCAACAGACATTATTAACGTTAACATCTTTCATTACCAACGTTATTGTCATCGTCATCATTTTTATCGTCATCGTCATCATTTTTATCGTCATCGTCATCATTTTTATCGTCATCGTCATCGATATCGTCAGCGTCCTCGTTATCCTCAACGTTATCCTCATCGACCTCATCATTATCATCATCGTTATCATAGTCTTCGAGGTCATCGTCACCGTCACCGTCATCGTCATCATCATCATCATCATCATCATCATCATTATTATTTTTGCTCTTATTGTTCCTTTTTTGATCAAGAATTTTTTTGATTTGATTTTTTTTATCATCATTACAATCATCTACCACTGTAATTCTCATCATCGTTATCGTTATCATCATCATTGTTCTTGTTCTCATTCATGTTTCCATTTTCTGAAGAATAAAGTACCTGAGCTTAACGCTGGTCTTAGCTTGTCACTCACGAAACGATCATTAACAACCGTATTTCTAACCGCTTAAACCATCACAAGTTAAGCGATAAGTCTATATGACTAGAGAGCTTTTTCGATTCAGGGAGGTCTCTTAGTGAATAATGATATATGTACTTGGATAAAGTGTTTAGATCCTTGCTACCATCCAGTTCAGATCATGCGATGATTCACTGACGTAGAAGTATTGTTTGCTCTTATTCCCTACACTCTACTACTTGTGAGATATTGCTTATTTCTTGCCCCCTCGCATGAATGATTACATGATTTAAATTGACGATAACAGGGATAAAGACAGGTGCCCGACCCCGTCTATTCATTTAACTGTAAAGCATTTTTACGTAATTTCTAAGAAAAAAAAAAAAAAGAATATAATGAGATTAAATTAATAGCCCAAACCCACCTATCTCTTCTAAAGAGTTTAACTCCTAGCTTTCTGCGCTTCTCTCCTTTTGTTTTGTCTCGTTTGTTAATTTTTTGTTTTGCTTCTAACCTTGAGTTTGTTCTTGTTTTCAGAGTTTTTTCTCGTTTGCCGTTGTTTCTATTTATTTATTTTTTTTTTTTTGCACTTCAGTGTGTGTTTGAATTTTGTCTTGTTTTTTCGTATTTTCGAACAGGACTTTTTTCTATCGAGCGATCAAATATCCATAATGCAGGAGGTTGCTGTCTCCGCTGCATTTTACAAAGACACTATCTGCACATCAAATTTTCGATCCACGTTAACTAGTGGCATTGGTGAACGATAAAGAATTTTTAAAACGGCACCTAGAAACAAATCCACATATCATACGACTGAACAGTTTACATAATTAGAGAATTGTTGAATAGCTTAGTAGGAAGGGAAGTTACATCACCACATGTGAAACTATTTGAATCATACGTCATAAAGGCAGACACCGAAAAGCATAAGTAACTTCCACTTAATAGTCCTCAAATCAATTACGTGTATGTTGAAAACTGCGGTGAACTTTTCGAAGAAATTTACGTCTGCAGTTAGTGCTCCTAGATTCAGAAACTCCTTTACAAAAACCTACTTCAACAAATATAGCATTATCCATCATTAGTACGAAACACAGACACACTCTCTCCTTCTTTGAAGTCACATTACCAAGCACTTGTTGTCTTTGGAAGATTTCGAGGAGCTGCTAGGAGTTGAACTGTGGTGTGACACATTAGAAGTATTCGTTGATGAAGAATAATTTCTTGATGTTCCTGTGCTAGAGATGTGCGATGAATATGTTGTATTATGAGAGCTCGCCGTACCTGAATAGTTGCTTGTACCTGTGCTGCGGTACGGTGTACTAGACGAGCTGTTAGAGGCTGAGCCATAACTACTTGATGCCACACTACTAGACGAGTAATAACCACTTGTGGGATTAAAGGGGCTGGTAGATCGGGTAGCTCGGCTATAAGAAGGTACTGCATGTGCTCCTGTCTGAGGACCAGCTCCGCGAGCTCCGGAATACCTTCTACTTTCATCAGAATACTCAATGATGTACTCTGGATAGAACTGATCGGTGTCAAACACCACAAATATGGTTGGATTGTACTCGTCGTCCACACAAGAGTCGTACAGGTCACTCGAAGGATTGGATGGTTGTTTTGGAGGCGGTCTTCGATAGCTGGAGTCGCCTTTGGTGTAAGTTCCAGCAAGGACTTTGACTAAGAATATGAATTGAGACGAATTTGCGTCTTTCTTTGCATAAGCATCGCTGTAGGAGGCATTTACAGCGAAATAACTTCCTTCACCATAAACAGTGGCGTTCTTTCCGTTTAAGCGCCAGTCAAAGTTTTGTTTACAAATGGCCTCTACAGCATCGGGGCTGGTTCCGTGGAACAACCTCTTTTCGTTCAAGGGGAAAACTTGTGACCGCCTGTCTTGATCGTCAACAAATATTCCTTTTTCCTTTCAAAAACAAACAAAAACAAGGCTTCAGGTAAAGAGCGTTTTACGTATACCCAATTACGACCATTTCCACGGAAGAATAGAGTATGTTTCAACATAAGAATGTTTCAAACAATCCACCAACACTGAGGTGAATAGTTTTTCTATTATTTACGAAAACGTTGAAATAATATAGCACAAAAAGTTGATTTTGACTCAAATCACTTTTCAGGGGATTTTAAAATCCCCTGAAGAGAGATTTTAATAACTAAACAGGCTTTTCGGGATGAAAGCGTAGTCCAGGGCGTGAAATCCCTAATTTTTCCCCCTAAATTTTTCACTTTGGCACCAAATACGTATCGGCTCATAATCTTATTTTTTGCAAAGATAAATCCGCGGCAAACTTCCTCGTTTGGTTTGTTTCGAAAACGTAGCACATGCATCTCGATCTATAACTAAGACGGAAAAATCCTCGAAAGAACAAAGTTTTCCTTGAAAATGGCATATTTTTTTGAATTGGCTACCACTTTGAAAATAAATAAATAAAAAAAAGTTAATTTCTTTGTTTTTTCCCTAACACAGATATCACTTTTTTTATGTATCCCTGTAAGACAAAAATGAAACAAAGTTTTCCTACATATATTTAAAAATAAATAAATTGACTGTGCTCTGTTCTGTTATAAAGCACGCAGGAAGCGCACGAGACGTAGCCCCACTTCTGGATTCTACGGATAACGACCCTTTTTTTGATTGAACTTTTAAATAACCTCTCCACTTCTTTGTACTCAGATGATACAGTGCTTAACGTGACACGTGTGTACTGCTTATTAGATGGCATAGAAGCCCAGTTGCTAGGCCTTTCAGTATTTGATACATTTGTAATCGGTTTTCCCTTCCTGGATGACCTTGGGCGAGAAAAATTGAAAAAAAATACTTAAGCAAGACAGACATAAAAAACACTCAAGCGCAATTAAAGTACCTACCAAAATTTTAAAGTTATCTGTAACCTGACCCAAACTTCCCTAGTTTTTTGGGGAGTTCCACCACTACTATCGCACCATTTTGCACTCCGTTTTGCCAGAAAGAGCATTTTGTTAAGTCAAGCTGTGACTGTTTCGATACAGTCTAGTGTTCCGAGATATTCCAATATCCTGGCGTTCCTGGCTTTGCCACATTCTCCAGATTGATAGCTCTAGGTTTGACCCCTCACCTAACCAGGGCAACATGGCTTACTCCCCGAAAGGTCATATCGCTTTCTTCATGCAGTAAGTATTTAAAATGTGATAAAACAGTGTGCTTCAATCCTTTGGTTTATTAATGTTTCCTTTCTTTTCAGTACATTACTTTGAGTGTGTTACGTATTAATATGCTGCAATAAACATGTTAACAACTTCAGAAATAGTTTGACCCTTCTTGAAAAAATGTGCTGTGTTGCACCCTTTCTAAATTTCTTTGCCTCAGAAGTGGCCGTTGCGGAAAGTTTTGACTGTCACTTGAAATTACCTTCGAATCTCCAGGATGTCTGCGCCTGATCTAAATTCTCCAGGTCTTCTCCTTACTTGTCGTTTAGTGCCATACCTCAAGTTTTCTTGTTCCATTTTTTGGAAATACAGTACATAGTCTTGCTCGGCAATTTTAAACTTATGGCAATATGTGCTGGATAAGAATGCCTCTTCTATGGGTCGCTGAAGATCATTACCCTGAAAATATACAAAAATTTCCAATGAATTAATCTACTGCTTTCTGATTGTGTTTACTGCTTGTTTAACTGTTTTTTTTTTTTTTCAAATGACTTGAACGAAATAACGTTTGTTTATTAACGCGTCCATGACTTAACAGTTTCCTAACATAACATGAGGCTTAAAAAGCATGGCTAATTACTACCTTTACTTGATATTTCTTCTTTAAAACATGTTTGTAATAGTTATCCAGAAATGGTACCTCACATAAAATCTTACCAGGTAGTCTGAGCCATACGCAAGCCACATGCCATTTTCGTCCTTCCAGTACCAAGTCCACACAGCAGCCAAAGGATTAACGGGATTATTGATGGAGGGTTCTGTGGACAGCCGCCTAATGTCTGCAACGACTTCAAAATCTGTCTGCACAAGCATCAGCTCATTTTCAAACAGGAACTGCACGGTATACTCTTCATCCAAGAGAGGGAATCCATGACTTAAAAAAATTGATTTTTAAGTTAACTTCGATCTGTGTGCCAATTCAGTATCATGAAATTTTGGGTACATTATTTACCAAGTTAAATTCCTCATTGCGGGCTTCTTTTGATAAGGAATTTGCATCAAGAATCGAACACTTTGAAAGATGATCTAAACTAGAGCATCAATCGTAATCTAAACTTGAGGGGCTTGTCTACAAAGGTCTTGTGAATAAATGAGGTTCAAAAAGAACCATACATATAAATTAATCATGAGAAATTATACCAACACAATTTACAAGAACAGATAGCAACGAATAAGGGAATAACGAGGTTACAACGAAGTGAGCTTGTAAACCCATAATTTTAGACTTGAGCTTGTATAAACAATTTATGTTTGCCTCTGCAAAATACTCTGTATTCAAACACGACTCTCCTTGGCTTACCTTTTGAAAGACAGCTTGAAGCCAGTGGCTAAGCAATCATTCATCATTGCGTCACAGTAAAGTTTCTCCACCTTCTCATTGTCAGTCTCACTAAAACTCTTCCAGACTCCTTTATTCTCGACTCTGTATTGCCAGTGGTAAGGCAACGAGCAGTGGTGCTCAGAACACTTGATGACCTTTTTACACTTTCCCAGAAGGAAATCTGAACAGATATGTGCATCTGGTTGATCAGTGTGAACATGACCTGACGACGATAAAAATAGAAGTGTGACTGAGGGTGAAAGACACGTTTTTCGTTATCCTCGGAAAAAAAAGAATCACTTTTCATTTACCTCTATAGGGAGAGCAATTGAGCATATTTAGGGACTGATAGTGCCACAGAATCATCGATTAATCCTAACAAAACACCTTTGTATTGTCCAATTATGACCAAAGACATTAGTTTTAAAACCCTAGTTTATAAAATAAAATAAAAATAAAATTTAAAAAAAAGCTTCCCGAATAAAATCAAAGCAATTTTAATTTTGTACCTATACTTTATCACAAATATTGCTGGATACATGAGCATAATCTGAAACCAGTATGCTTTCTTAGTGAAACATACCTGCTTCTCTACTTTGTGCCAAGTCGTCAAAAAGCAAAATAGCCTTCTTTGCTGCGCCTGGTTTTAAGTGGTCCATACGATAACGCTCGAGAACTGCTTTGGTGTGGTCAGTGGTCATGGCGGATTCATGCTCTAAGATACAACCATGTCCTTCTCGGGAGCACTTTTTCAAGTGGTTGCTACACATGTGAATTCTAGGACAAGCATCGCCACGATCACAAATACCATCGTTGTACTCTACGCAAATCAGTGGTGACGAAAACAGCACAAGCCGGCGAAGTTGCTCGTCTGTGAACTTGTCGAGGTTGATCTTAGACAGCAAAGCCTTATCCTTCTCGTTGCGGAATTGATGGTTCCGTGGGCATGTTGCTCCGTTGGCGCAGGAGTCAGTGATATAATCTCTGCAGACGTGCAGGAATGAGCAGTTGTCTTTTACACAAGTTCCATAGGGGGCGTTGTAACTGAAGCAGAGTCGAACCTTTGCGGAAAAGGCACTTACTTCTGTAATTGCCCCATCTGGGTTTTCTAAGATCAAAAAGCTCCCATTTCTTCTTCGAAACCAAGACTCCACGTCTTTGAATCCGGCAGTGAACAAATCAGTGCGTTTAGAAATCACTGAAAACGAAACTGAGCAGTTGTATTCTTTGCACAAGCACTCAAAGACTTTTCGTTCGGATGCTTCACTGTTGTTCACAACGGCACCTGTAAAAGGAATTGGACTACTATTCTGATCGCTCACTTTTGTGCCGCCAGCTGCTCCCTCTGACGTCCTCGAACCACTTGGCGTTGAAACAGTGCTGGGTGTTCTGGCTACAGAAACGGATGCAAGTAAATAAGGAATGGCACCACTCGGGTTTTTCTCTTTTCGGCTGCCCACTGCACTGCTCGACGATGTCAGACTAGCTGCTGTGAAAACAGTGTCTTTTAAAAGGGGTGTAGAGTCAACTGAAGATTTCCTCTCGCAGATGAGAAGGGTTCGCAAAATCGGTTGAACGTTGTCATCCCAAACTTTCAGGCCATATCTACTAAGCACAGTGTTTGCTTGAGCCGTCAACAATGCTTCTTCATGCTTGAGACTGCAAATGACTCGATCTGAACACTTCTTCTTTATCATATCCTTGCAAATATGCATTTGCCAACAACTCTCTCCGAGTGCACAGTGTCCTTCATTATAGTCTAGACATACTTGGGGTATTGACAGCTGAACGAGTTTA